ATCATTAAATGCTTCTTTACATGTTAAACAATTATTATTATGATAAACTCTAATTTCATTATCTATACTATTACATTTAGTACATGTTTGATTATTACATTGAATACAATCATTTGTAAATATAGAACAGTCTATACACTTATCCTTTTTCATTGATAACCCATAACCACTTGGACATTCATAACACTCATCTAAATCACAATTTATACATCCTTTAAATTTATTATTACAATCTTCAGATTTAATAGGAAATGTTGCAATTATAATATGTAATTGATTCGTATCATTTATACATCTTTTTAATGCATAACTTTCTTGAATAATTATATTACCTTTACAATCAGAATTATCATATTTTGTTTCAATTAAATTAAATTCATTGATGGTATATGTAGACTTAAATTGACATTTATTTATATCAGGTAATACATATCTAATTAAACTTGCTTCTTCTATTTTATTAATTCCACAATCTTTATAATCATTATCAAAATAACTAATAATTGAATAATCATCATTGATATTAAACTTAGTATAACTATATTGGTCTGGTGAAAATTCACTAATACCATATATTCCATTACAATTATTTGTTGAATTATATTCTTTTAAAAATATATAATTTTTATCTCCATAAATTCCAGGAATAAATAATAATGATGATGAATTTGTTATTTGAAAACATTTATTTGGAATAACTCTTAAATATGAATTTGTAAATTTTAAATATATTGGTGTTGAGTCTGATATTCTATTATCAAGAACTGAAATTTTATATATTCTTGAATTAATTTCAATTGTTTCATTTTTTGATTCAATTTCAATAGAAAAAGATGAATAATCATCTTTTGGACATTCATTTTCATTAACAAAATTAGACATTAATTGAAGTTCCATTCCAATAGTTCTAAATATTTTTCCATTTTCACAATAATTTGTAAATTTAACTTGTTGACTAAAATAAGGAGAATAATAAAAATGAAAATATTCATAACCAATAGCTAAAATATTTGTTTTTATTTCTTTTTTAAGAAGAGGAAAATCAATATCTTCAATAAATAGATTATTAGTAGTATTAAATTTATATGTTTTACATAAATCTTTTGAAATACATTCAAAAATATATTCATTTTCTTGATTCATTGATTCAAAATAATCATTAATTAATACTTCTCTATACATTTGTTCATTTCCAAAATATAATGTTTGTATTTCATTCATTTTTATATTTTTTTCTATATAAAATATTCCATTATTTAAAATATATCCATTTCTATATATTTCAATAATAATATCTTTTGTTTTAATTGAAGAATTTTCATTTTCATTTAAATAAAGATGTTTTGTAACTGTACATTGATTAGTAATCCATTGAATATTATCAATACGTTTAGAAATGAAATATTCTCTTAAAATATGAATATTATTATCATTTATTTCTTTATATCCTACTGAAAAAATAAAATTAGAAATAATATTATTATTAATTTCTTTATTTTGATAATATTGTATTTTAGTATTATTATTACAATCTACAAGATAATATTTATTATCATTTATTATAATTTTTTGATTTGTTGAACCTCTTTGATAACAAATTTCATTATTTGTTAATTGATTAATAGATGATTTTCTATATGAAAGATAAGAAACACATTCGTTTGAATCAGAATATTTACAAAGATAAATAATTGGTGAATGATTAATATTTTTAATTACTTTAATAGAACAAATAAAGTCTTGTTGATATTCTGAATTAACATAAATATTTTGTATTGGATTATTTGAGAAAATACAATTAGTAAATAAATCTGTTCCAGTATAATATATTGATTTAAGTTTATTACATTCATTAAAAGGAATATTATTATTTGAAGATGATAATACTGACTGAAAAATAATTGAAGTTAATGAAGTACATTTTTCAAATGAATTATTTGATAAAGAAGTAAGAGTAGAAGGAAATGTAATAGTAATAAGAGAAGTACATTTTTTAAAAGCTTTTTCTTTAATAGAATTAATTAATGTATTATGAAGATTAATCGTTGTTAATGAAGTACATCCAGAAAATGCACTTTCTTTAATTTCACGTAAAGTATATGGAAGAATAACATTTATTAAATTAGAACATCCATTAAAAGTATCTTCATAAATTGTTTCAATTGAAAATGTTGATAAATCTATTGATTTTAATTTATTACATCCAATAAATAATTCATTACCTAATTCTTTAATTTCTGCATTATTAAAATTTATTGAAACTAAAGATTTACAATTAGAAAATGCTTGATAATCAATTCTATAAACACTTTTTGGAATATTTATATTTTGTAAGTTATTACAATTTGAAAATGCATTAAGACAAATTATTTTTATACTTGTTGGTATTTCAATACTCTTTATTAATGAATTACTAAATGCATTCCATCCAATTACTTCTACCCTTTTTTCTTCATTGGAAATTGGATCTATTCCACTATTTGGTATTTTGATATCTCCACTACATTCACGTGTATTTGAACTTATAACTATAAGTCCATTTAATCCATATCTACTTGCACTAGTAAAATTTAATTCACATTTACCAAAACAATTATATATGAAGAAATATAAAATAATGAACATTAAATTAATCAATTCTTTTTTCAGTTTTCTTTTTTCTTTTATTAGTTTTATAATGTTTTTATATTAATTTCTTTCTTTAAATTCGTTTTTTTTTTTATTAATTCTTTCTTCATAAACCTTTACTTTTCTTATATTTAATGATTAATCAAAAGGAATATTTCATTCAAAACCTTTTTAAGTAAAAAAAAATTGATTTAATTTTTTTTATTCTTTTTTTTTATTCTTATTTATAAACTTATAAAACAAAGATGTAATTTTCTCAATACTTCTTTTTCATTTACTTATTATTAAAAGAATAAAACTTTATTATCTTTTCAAAAATAATATTATTAATTTCAAATAAATTAAATAACAATAAGATATTTCTAAGATAGAAAATATTTATATTTTAATTGTTTTGAACAAAATATTAATTATTATTTTTATTATTTTTTATATCAAGGATATTTTACTTCTTATTTTTCTGTTAATTTTAATTATTTTTTAATCCTTTCTTTTTATTATTAATATTCTTTTGCTATTATAAAGTATTTTTATCTAAAGTACTAACTATCATTCATTGCTTTGTATTTCTTGTTAATAAATCATTCCATTATATTTTTCTTGGCATGCACTAATCAAACAATTTTTATATGTCTTATATTAATTAAGAATTAATTACTTACTTAAATTATTCTTTTCTTTGAACTTGTTTTACTCTGTACAGCTATGATTAATAATCACTTTTATAACTAATAATATCATTCTCATAAGAGTAAAATGAATAAAATTTTCTCATTACCAATATCTATCTCATAAAATAAACATAATAACAAGTAAACAATTACTCAAAACCATAATCCATTTTTCCAATAATACACAAAAATGTAATTATTATATTACTTGGTTAAATTCTACTGAAAATCATGTCATTGAAATCATTTAAAGAAATTGATTAAAAAATTATTTATTAATTATTATTTGGATGTGTTTGTAGTTGTTTCTTCAATACTTTTAAAATTATTCTCTGTTATTTCTGAATAGATTGGGTTTGTTTGTATGGATATGATATTGAATGTTGAAATGCATTTTTGTCAAAAGGAATCCAGTCGTCATACTCATTATTAGAATAACCAATATGAGCTGATACTGAGCATTCAATATCTAATAAAGAAGAAACATAGTCTGACTACTTTAATTAAGTTATATTGTTTTTATAGATAAAATTCAACAAACTTGATGAAGACAAGAAGATTCTTGAATAGGTGATGATGTTTCCATTAGAATGAATGAAATAATAAGAAAACGACCTACTGTTTTAATATGATAAGATAGAATCTTATTGTAGTTAAAATGATAAAACGAAAAAAAACAAAATAATCAGTCAATCAAAACTTTCTTTATCAAATTATGTATTAACAGTTTCTTGATGACCACAATTAGGACATTCATAATAAACAGTTTGACCTTCATCAACAGATCTAACTTGTGCAGAGTGATAATGCATTGTTTCATTTCCACAATTAGGACATTTTTCGTATACAATAGCACCTGTTGGTAAAATTTCTTTAATTTTTGAATCAATACGTTTTTTATTACTCATCTCAAATATTGAAGATGTTGTTTCAATTGGGTTGTATTTGAATTCTATAATTTATGTAAATGTCTAACTCTTTCTTTACGATTTTAACAACAAGAAGAACAAGCGTTTCATTTTCAATCCAATTCACTCATTTCAATTGTTTATTTCTTTATAAAAAGTATAGATAATAACAAACGATCTGCACTGATAACAAAATGACACACATCACATACAATATCTCCACTGTCTGAAAGAATAAGGTATGTACCACAACGTGGACAAAAACTAGATGGAATTGTTCCAATTACTTCTTTCCAATTAGACATTGAAAAATGAAAAAACCTAAAATCTTTTTTAGATCAGGGTATTGTTTCAGCAAATGGAAAATCTAACAAACACCACTGAATTAAAAATTAATGATCTTACTATCTCCACAAACGAAGAAGTAGAAATCAAAAAAAGAAATGAAGGGCATAACAACAACATTAACCAACAAGAAGAGATATTAGGATTAGTAAATCAACCTGATGAATCTGAAAATCAAGATCGAGATGAAGAAAATAATGAAGATAGTGATGATGTCAAAGAAGTGAAAAGTCATGGAGAGGAAATGGCAGATAAAGCAATTTGGAGGATAATTTTTATTATATCACCAATTGCTTTAATCCTTCTTATTCTTGGTATTGTTGGATTAGTAGTTACAACATACCTTCTTCAGAAGAGTTAATTCTCATTCATTATTTCACCATTATTCATAGGTTTGATTTGAAGAAGAATGAAAAAGTAGTTTGAACAATAATTAAATATTAATGAGTCATTTAGTAAAATAGTGTTGAAGAACAAAAGGTGTTTCAGATGAAATAGTATTTGGGTCTAAAAGCATGTTTGGTTGTTTAACAAAGATACGAATAAAATAAGATCCTTTTTTTAAAGGTTGGTTAAAAGTCATTTGTATTTTCTTAACATTTGGTAAGACTTTCATGCTTTTAATGAAATGTAATGAGTCATTCTCTTTTCTTTCAAAAATACCACAGCAGCATTCTTCAATAGTTCTTGGTGAAAATGAAATTTGAATAGAAGCATTTAAAACATTAATTTGACTAATTTCTGTTTGATATTTTTTATTAAAATTAGTAAGTCCAACAAGTACAATTTGAAGTTCTGGTTCTACAAGGCATACTTGAATGACCCCTCTAACCATTGGATTAAATGAAAACAAAAAATATCCTTTTTGTACTTCAACTTGTTTAAGTATAACAGCATGATTAATATAAATAAGTACTAGTGCTCGATTTAAACTATTATATCCTTCAACTTCTATTTGGTCATTTGCAGTAACACGACATTTTAAACGACACTTTCTCTCAGATTGGAGCATTAATTCAGCAAATTTTCTTTCTCGTTTTAATTCTTTCAATGAGTTAGTACTTCCAAATGGTTGAACTCGAAGGTGAAATTGATGAAAAATCTCTTTAGGTATTTCCATAAGTCATTATATTAAAGTTCTCAAAAAAAAAAATTAATCTTTTACTTTTCTGACTAAATGAAGAAAAAATCTTAAAAAAAACAACGACACAATAACCAAATTAGTTCCTTGAGTTTATCTGTTAGATTTAGCGACACGTTCCATATCTTCCTTCTTCTTAATGGCAAATGAAGCAGTGTTAGATTTAGATGCATTGACGATTTCATCAGCAAGACATTCGGCAAGAGTTTTAGAGTTTCTGAATGCTGCACTTCTGCATCCCATAGTCATTAAATAGAGGGCTTGGTTGATTCTTCTTAATGGTGAAACATCAACAGCTTGTCTCTTAGCATTTCCTCCTGTTCCAACACGAGTTGAATCTTCTCTTGGTGATGCATTAATGATAGCATCAACTAATACTTGAATTGGGTTCTTTTCAGTTAATAAATGAATAATTTCAAAGGATTCTTCAACAACTCTCATAGCAAGAAGTTTCTTTCCTGAGTTCTTTCCATGTTGCATCATACAGCAAACTAATCTTTCAACAATTGGGCATTGAATCTTTCTGAATGGCTTAATTTGATATCTTCCAGCTGTATGTGGAAGGAAAACTTGATACTTAAGTTTACTGTTAATTGCAAGAAGTTCTTTGAGTGAAATATCACTAACAGTAACATCATAACTCCATTTGTTGAAAAGTTTTGGTGCAAAAGTGTGTGCAACAGTTTCAACTGGTTGGGCTACAGCTTCGGCCATTGTGATCTATAGATCTCTCTTTTTACTCTAAAAGGGTTTTTTGTTTCAACCCAGTAGATAATTCTTTTTAGTTTTTATTATTATTCTTAATTCATACTCTTTTTTTATTATTCATTTATGTTTTTGTCAAATATTTTTCGTTATATAAAACACATTAATTACTATTCAAACTTCCTGTTTATGGATAAGATTCTAAAAAAGTTGGGAGAGAAATCAACAAACACCACAAATGGATAGATTGTTTCTGTAGATATAGAAAAGTGATAATCTTTTCATTTTTGGAGCAAAAGACAGTTTAAAAATGCCTTGTAAAAAAATGTGATAAAAACGCAGAAAGAGTTGAACTAAAGATTAATAGAGTTGAAAGAAAAATAAAATGAAAAAGGTGGTTAGAAACTCTGTACGATGAAAGAACCAAGTTAAAAATCAAATTAGAAAAATGAAAAAAATAATCAAAAATTGACTATGAACATAATTTTTAATAGATAATGTCTGTTATAACAGACCACTCAGACTCACAACCAAATGAAACAGACTCATGTGGTAAATCACCGCCGTCAACAGAGTGTGTTGAGCAATCACCGATGAATGAAGATTCACCAAAAAAGATAGAACAGACACTAGAAACGTTACAAAATGACCTTCAGTTCTACAGAGAAAAATATGAATATCTTCAACAAGAAAATACACTCTTAAAGAAACAACTTCATTTTAAAAAATAACTTAACTGTTCATTTTTTTATTTTCTCTTCTTTTTTTGTGAAAAAAAAAGAAGTGTACCTCTTTTACACTGCATCATCAAAAAAAAAAAAAAACAGAAAATATGATTAGACAAGATATAAATTAAAATAATCTCATCTTTAACTCTATTAAAACTCATTTTATTTTTCTTTAAAACTCAACGTATCTTTTTCTTTTAAAAATTTATTTTGTTATTTCAACCAAAAAATTCCATATTCTCCTTCATGCTGAACCAATTTCATTTTCCCTTGTTCTTTAATTGAATTTAATCCTTCTATTAGTAATTCATCATCCATTTGATAAAAAACAGATTCTTTATCATTTTCAATTGAAAAAAATGTATCTGATTGTCCAATTAATCCTTTAGAATTTCCATATTCATATAACTCTTTTCCCCATTCTCTAAGTGGTTTATAAAGAAGTATTAATTTACTAGATTTGTTTAGGTCTATAATTTTGTTATTATTCACCATAAATTCTTTAACTAATTCAATTCCATTTTCACTTAATGTTCCTATTACATTTATTTTTATTCTTCTTATTTTTAAATAACAATTCATTATTTATCATTATATATTAACCAACAAACGATGAAGTTCTTCATTATGAAAAATTGGTAGTTTGTTGAACTCTGACTGTTTCATTATTGGTTTTTTAATACATTCACAATATTTTAATATAAGTTGTGACCAAAGTTGAAGTTGCTGATTTTTTGTTTTGTCTACCAGTTGTATTCTATGAAATAAGTTTTGTTGAAGTTTATTATTTTCAACAACTGCCAAACGTATAAAATGGTGGAAATTTGGCAAATTCAGGAATTCCAAATGTCATTGAATTTCTAGTTCTCTATCCTTTTATTGAAATTTTAATATGCCACTTTCTTAAAAATAAAAATACTATTTCTTTTACATATTTATCAAATGATTCAAAAAAAAAACCAGAAGAATTGAATTTGAACTTTGAAAAATTCATTTTTGTGTTTACTTTATTTTAATCCTTTTTAGAAATATAGGTAAAGCCATCAAACTTAAATTCTTGTCCACCTGAAGTATTTGAATTTTTTTCCTCTGCAATAGCGGCATCTGTTTCTCCTAAGAAATATGGATCGATATTAGCAACATCATCAGCAGAGTGGACTTGAGGAATATAAGGTGGAACAACTTCTTTTTTCATTAAACGATCAAAATCAAGTCCTTGGAAGAATGGGTGATGTTTCATAATAGTTGTATCTGTTAATCTTCTAGTTGGATTCTTTTCTAATAATGCATCAATAAATGTTTTAATAGAAGACGGTGTATTTGGTGGATATCTAACAGCTTCATTAACAATATTTTGATACATTTCACGTTCATCCTCACTATAGAATGGTGGAATACCAACCATCATTTCATATGTTAAAATACCAAAACTCCACCAATCAACAGCACTATCATACTTCTCTCCTAATAGAATTTCTGGTGCTAGATAAGCAGCAGTTCCACAAAAAGTGCTTGTCATATCTCCTTCTCCTTTCATTCCTGTTTTACTTAATCCAAAATCTGTGATACAGACATGACCATCAGCATTTAACAATACATTTTCTGGTTTTAAATCTCTATAAATAATACCATGTAAATGTAAATGTTCTAGTGCTAACAATATTTCAGCAGCATAAAATTTAGCACGAGCAATAGAAAATCTTCTTTCATTTTGTAAATGATAGAATAATTCCCCACCATTTATAAAATCCATTACAAAATATAACTTATTTTCCGTTTGGAATGAATAATGCATATGAACAATAAATGGATTATCAATGGTTCCTAACACCTCTCTTTCAGCCATTGTATGTTCAACTTCATTTGTTTCAACAACTGCTTTCTTATCTAAAATTTTCATTGCATAGATTTTCCCTGTATCAATTTTTTTAACTAACATTACTTTTCCATATGTTCCTTTACCAATAAGTTTTAATGTTTCAAAATCCTCTAGTTTAGGTTTTAGTGCATTTGAAGATTGATCTGATTTACTACATTTCTCATCAATAAATTTTTGAAATACAGTTGTCCATTCATCTCGAGTAGTCTCTGAATCAAAAGCTAATCGAAAAACTTTTGTCTCTAATAATATCTCTAACATAATTCTCTTCTTGTCTTCTGTTTTTCTTAAAGAACTTGCTCTATTCATATCAACACTTCCTTTTTGGTCGGTTTCTTTTTTATCTGTAAAATAATCTAACATTCCATTATTATGAAATACGAACCATCTCTTCTTCCAATTCTTTACTTTACTTCCTTCTTTTATCATTACACCACGTTTTAATACATCAGACATTGTTAATAATCTGGTAATATATTTTTTTAGTTCATTTTACTGAGAAATTCTCTTTGTTTTTGCTTTTCATTATTTTTCATCTCCAGATAAAAATATAAGAAAATTATTATTTCTATATTAAATATAAAAAAATTATAAAAGACTTGAAAAATCATAAGAAAGAAAAAGTCCAAATCAATTTTTAAAGCAATCCGAAGAGTATTTCTAATTTGTTCGTTGCAATAAACGAATTAACTGAGAATTAACGGTTTTCCAACGTTGAAGTTCCATTTTTAATTTTTCTATTTCAGATTGGTTATTTGGTGTTGAGGTATCAATTGAATGACTAGTTGATGAATAAATAGTTTTTTGTAAATCATATTTTGAAGGTTTTGATGGACAAATAGAAATTGGTGTTGAAAGAATTTCATCAACAAGAGCTGGGTATTTCTTTAGAATTAATGTATCAACTTTCCACTCTTTAGACTTTTTAATTGTTAAGTCTTCAAGAGAGTTGAAGTGAAGTGGGGGAGAAATGATTTGAAAATGAATAATTGGAGATTTAATCTCATCATTAACAAGTAATGGTTCTGTTGTTTCACAATCAAAAGTGATAAGATTTCCATTTTGATAAGATACAATCAAAGTGTCATTATATTCTTGTACACATCTCACAGCACCACAATCACTGTGATAAAATACTTTTCCCTGCATGTCTTGTTTTTTATTAATACGATCAAATTGGGGAGCATATAATACTGGGATACTATAAACTTTCCCATCAATACACCCAACAGAAATAACAGTTTTTGAACTGTTCACACAAACACATAGTGGTTGTGAAGGAAGAGTAAATGAAGCTGTTGGAGTTGAATCTCCAATTTTCCAACACTTCATTGTATTATCTAATGCAATAGAAATAATACCTGCGTTAAGACCTTCTCCACAATACAAAGCAGTAATAGGAAGAGAATGTGAAGTATAAGTAAACAATGGCTCAGGAACAGAATTACAAAACAAACTAACAAAATTCCATCCACGAATAACTGAATCTTCACCAGCAGTAATCAATATACCATTATCATTGCAATAAACAATAGAAGTAATTTTCTTATTATGAGCTTGGAATTGTTTAAGAAGTAATCCATTAGAGTTACTCCAAACAACTATTTTCCCACTAATCGTTCCACCAACAATATAAGATGTAGAAAGATAATAAATAGATGATAGTGGCTCTAATATAGGGGATTTAGCAATGACATTTTCTCTAATAAATGAGTATTCATAAGTAAAGGATTTTTCATTATCACATAATATAAATTTACTTTGTGATGGGTTATATGATACTGTTGAAGCTGAGGTTATATTTTGTGGTTGTTTCCATTTACACTGAATTTGGTTGTTTTGAGTATTAATAAGATAAGTAAATCCATCAAGTGTTGTGGCAATTATACTTTTCATTTTTGATTTGTTTGTTTTTAGGTTTCTTCTTTAAAACTATTTTTTCTAAAAAAAACTATAAATTTTTAATTAAAAAGCTAATGGTGACATTGTTCAAAAGTAACACCACAGTGACCCCAAACAATAAGAAATAGCACAAACTATAAATATTAATATTTTTATCATTAAAATATGGTAAAGAATAACAAACTACAACTAAGAAGAAGATCAAAAAGATAGTTTTGGTGGTAGTCAAGTAATATTTTTGACGAAGTTTTACTGATGACCGTTCTAATTCTAAAGAAGCCTCAGCAAGATAGTTTGAATTAGTTTCAATTTCATCAAGAACATTACCACGATTAACTAATACATCAATATTATCATTTATTTGATTTAAAGTATCATTCATAGTCAATTGAATAGAATTTAAAGGGTCTGTAGTTAGGTCATTAAAATGTTTAATTTTTTGTTTAATTAATAAAGAGAAAGTAGAGTTAAGTGTTTTTTCACTACATTTTTTCCATTGATCTTCATTAAATGTTTTTACAAAAGTTACATAAATATCATCCAGAAAGTCAAAAACACGTTCTGTAGGAAAAGTTGTTCCTGTGATTGCAACAGTGACAAGATTGTATTTTGATAACACGTTAATTATGATATTTTCCTTTCTGACTACCATAGTATCATTCACATTTATTACTTTTTTTAATATTTGATGAATAACAGAATCTATTTGGGGAATTGAAACATCAGAATATTCTACTAATATTGTTTCACTATATGCTACACATGAATAAATAATAGATGCTCCTGGATTATATTTTTCCATTTCCACTTAATATTTTAGTTCTTTTAAGTTCTTCTTTTTCTTTTTTCTTTTTCTTTTAGTAGATCTAAGAAACAAACATTTTAAGTTTCAAAACATCAAAAATAAAAATTTTCAGTTTAAGAAAAAAAAAACATATTTTTTTATTTATTTTTATCGAAAAAAACCCTCTTGTTATTTAAAGGAAAGAAGGAATTTTTAAATAAAAGTCAGAAAGAACTAAAAAATAAAAAGATAGAAAAAGGAAAAATAAAAAAGTAATAATAAAAAAATTAAAAGAAAATAATAAAAAGAAAACCTAAAAAAGAATGGAAGAAAAAGAATAAAACTGAAAAGAGAAAAAAAGGAAAATAGTAAAATTAAAAGAAAAATATTAAAAAAAAAGAATTAAAACACAGATAAATGTAAAATTGTTATTGAAGTTCTAAAATTAATTAGATGACTAGTTTTATGAGTGAAATACCAACGACAAGTACCACTGGAGCTGAACCACAAGAAATTAAAATGGATAGTTCAGTTCATATTCAAGAGATTAGTGCTGATAGTGTTCAAATGAAACCAGAACAAATTGATTTACATAGTGCTGGAGTAATACAAACGAAAGAACAAATTGAATTAAATGTTGAGACACAACAAGTGGCACATGTTCTTGAACTTAATCAACCACTTGCACAAGAACAAAATGAATGTGGACAAAGAATTGAAGAAGGTCAAATGATTGGTCATAATCAAGTTCAACAAGAAACAGATCTTCCACCAGAAATACCACAACCAATGATGAGTGAACTACCATATGATGGAGAAGTAAATGAATTATATCCAATGCATTTAATGAATGATCAAAATCTTTCAATGACACAAACATTATTACCAGATTGTCCAGTTATTGAAGAACAACCATCTCCATTAATGCAAACAATAAATGCTAGTGAATCAAAACAAAATAAATGTATTCATAAAGAAATTGTTAAAGACAAAGATGGTACTTTGTTTTATTGTTATACTTATTTAGTTAAAAATAAAGGTGGTGATGAACATCCTCAAAAAATTTATATTAAAAAACAAAGTGGTAAAACAAGAGAACCTAAAGTTCATCGTCAAAAATTAGTTAATGGAAGACTTGTTATTGAAGATAAAGAAAGAAAATATACAAAACAACATTCAATGTTAATTGATTTCATTGACACTCATATGAACCAAATTAAGTCTTACAATAAGTTCATAGTTTCTAGAGTTTTACAAGACTTTAAAAGAGAAAATCCTGATGTTAAAATATCTTATGGTTTAGTAAAGAAAGTATTAGAACAACAAGCTTTATTACCTGCCAATAAAAAAACTTACTACAAACTTGATTAATTTGTTTTCTTTCTCTCTTTTTTTTATTTCTTTTATAGCTTTTTTTTAATTCTTACATTGAGGATGAAAAATTCATACTGGAATAGACAGAAATATTTAAGGTAATTTGAAATATTGAGAACAAAAACAAAATGGAATTTTATGTCCTTATTGTTTCATTACTTGTTGTCAGTACGTTAATTTTTGTTATAATTACTAAGAATAAACAACAAATTTTATTTATTAAGAGTTTGAAATATTTTAATATCAATGAACCTGCTATTAGTATTACTGATTACTCTAAAATATATCACGCACAAGCCAATAAATTTAAAGAAGTTCAAAATGAATTTCTTGATGGATATGATGGTTTTATTATCAAATTATTATTGAAGCAATTGCCTCCACAAGTAATTCATAAATCTATGAAATATTTTGAAGAATTTCATCATAAAAATCTTCTAGAGGTTTATGCCTACCAAACAACACCACCTATTTTGATAGAAGGATACTGTCATAGACTTTCTTTGAATGAGTTTGTTCAAACTAATCATCCCAATTTGCATGACCAAATTTTCTATTATGATATTGCACTTGATATTTTAAATGGTCTTAAATATCTACATTCAAATGGAGTTGTTCATGGGAATGTGTCTCCATCGAATGTTCTTGTTACTAATGATTATCAGATGAAATTGTCTGACCCTTCTTTCTCTTGTTTTTCAAGAATGAGTCAATTCTTATTAAATTCATCCCATTTTCAATCCCATATTCCTGGAATGGAATATTGTTCTCCTGAAACACAAAATAAATTCACCACTCCATCTTCTGATGTTTTTTCTTTTGGAATGGTTATGGCATTTGTGCTTCTTAGAAAACCTTTACAAACTATCCTTGGAAGGGATGTTGAAATAAAAAAGAAGCAACATCTGTTAGTTAGTCTTGAATCTCAAGAAATAGAACTAATTGTAAAAGAATGTACAAGTTACGAACCATACAGAAGACCACCAGTGTCATTGTTAATTCAACATATCACGAATTTGAAAATAAATGAATGTCAAGTTTGATTGCTCTTTCTTTTATTCGTATTGTGAGTGATTAATTTAACAACTTTTTTTAAGCATCGTTTAGTTAGTATAATATTTTATATTACTATTTATTAATTGTAAATTGATACTTTAACCTTTTCTTCAAATGGTCAAGGTTATTAGTAATAGTAATTAATACAACAGTTATCAAAAAAGTTGTTTTTTAATATAAAAGTTTATCTAGTCACTACCTTAATTAATATTTCTTATGACTAAGAACTATTTAAAATAAACCCCCCTCAAAAAAAAAACAAAATTAATAAGAGTTGAGAAAGATATTATTAAAACAATATTTAATTAATCACAAGTATCACCTTTGCATAACGATATTTTTTCAATATTATTATATTTACTTTGACAAGTTCTATCAACAGACAATTGATATCCATCCTTACAACTTAGACAATGACTATTTGGAGAGTGACGAATACAATGAATATCTTTAATACAAAGATTAGACCGAGTTAAAGTCAATCCTTCTTTGCAAGATTGACAAGTGAAATTATTCTTAGATTTGATTATCACCACAGCACAATATGGTAATTCATCAAGATAACTTTGTTGGTCAAATATCAGTACTTGACTATTTCCTTTTTGATTGATATGGATTTTAAGTCTTTCTTTTTCATTATCTATCCTAAAAGCAAATACAGATGAATCTTGAATATCTTTTAAATAAATCATTCCATGACCAATGAAAGTAAATGGAATTTTATTTTTATATTGGGTCAAACAAATTTCATTTGTTCCAGTTAGTACTAAAGTATTATTTAATGGATTAAAGAAAAACATACCATCACTATCTCCAAAATTCGTAATAAACCCAAACGATGTTTTAATAACATTTTGAGAAAATAGTCTCATAGAGATAAGACGTAATAAACATAAGTCTTCAAGGTGAATTAATTTTGAAGTGTCAAGTTGGTGGAGAGTAGTATTATGATTAATGTGAAGTAGTGTATGTGATAGGTCATTTGATTGAAGGTACACTTCAGAAGATAAAAATTCAAGAATACATGAAGTATGTTCATCATTGCACGGGCAATGAGGGTAAGCAAAGGCATAATTTCCACTACCTGAATAAGACTTTTGATAAAATGGAGTTGTTAAAATACATTTAACTTCATTAGTAAACGGGACAGAAGAAGGGCAATAACGAATAAGACGTTGTCCAGAAAGAAGATGAATATGACCAGTTGAAAGAGGATAAGGAAAATCATTTGTTTTTATTGTATTAATAGAATTAGCAGTATTGAGGATATAAGACGATTGCATTGAAAGAAGGTCAAAGCATTCAGTGCTGTTATTAATTTGAAGAGACTTAAAGAGTTCGATTCCAATAGCACTCCATGAAACAATTAATGGATAATTTGTTTTTAATTGACTGTTTATAGTAATGCTTTTTTGTATTTGTAATGAATGAAATACATATATTTGAGACTGTGACATCATTTTCAATAAATAACTTACTTGAAAGGGTCGTTGAAGATATAACTGACTTTGGTTAGTTAAAGTTAAATTCGATGTAATAAATAAATGATGGTTATTAGAAGAAAATAGAATTTGACCATCAACCACTGTGTGACCAACTAACCAATCTTTTTCTGAATCATCACTGAAGTCTTTTGTAAATAAATATGTTTTGTTTGAATGCGTTGTTGAACATTGTAGAGATGATGTGTTTGTCTGAGAATTAAATCCATCACTGAATTTATTACCAATTGGGACACAATCAAAAAGTAGTTTACTTTGGCAATCTTTAACAAGAATAAATAAAATAATGAATAACATTATTATTTTGTTTTGATTTATTTGTAAAATATGAGATTCAGTTTCTATCTTATTAATATAAATTATGCTATTTAAAAATAGTTTTATTATATTATTGGTTTGACACACATGATTTGTTTTAATAATTGTAGTTTTATTGAAATGTACAGTATAACAAAGAAAGGTATTTGATTTGAACGATTGTTTTTTAAAAATTGAGTTTTTATAAAATCGTTAGTTTTTTAAAATAATAAAGATAGAAATGGAATTCATCTATTCTTTTAAATTAAAAATTTGTCAAGATTGAAACATGTACTTTTTATGTTTGAATATCTTAAATTTAGTTAAGCATTTAAAAAAGAGAGTTTTGTGATAATTAAAAATTAAATTAACATCAAAAAATCAATAAATTTGATGAGACATTTTTAATAACAAAATAATCAATAGTTTCTTTATGAATAGCATTGTATTTTCTTCAAATAGTATTGAATGAATGACTTGGATGAAGCAATTTTGATTCTTCTAAAAATTTATAATAATCTTATATTCATTGTTATTCTCTAGTATTATTGTATTAGAATCTGTTTATATATTATTTGATTATATTTTAATTATCTTCTTATGATAAACAAAATCTTATTTAAAATTTATATAGAAGTAGATTCGTAATATTATTAATATTATCTTTTTACTCTCAATTTTTTTAGTTAGTAATTGTTTTATATTTTCTATCAATACTAATATATTTTATTGATACTGTTATTATTTGAATAATTACATTTCTTCCTATTCTTAATAAATATGAATATATTTCTTTTGTTTAATAACGACAATAAGATTTTTTCATTTTTGGTAATAAACAATCAAAATATATTCTTTTTGTGTATTATTCCAACTTTAATTATTTCTTATTTTTCAATAACACCTTCTATATTTCTTTGTATCGTTTTTACTTGATAAATTTTTATTTTAATTAAATAAAATGGATAAATTAAGATGATAAATTATATTTCATTTACGAGTGAAAATGAATATATTAAATATATTAAAATTATCACATAAAATAAAAGAAAGCATTAAACAATACATTAAAGTGAAAGTAAGTAATATAATAGAAGGAAGAGTAGAGTGTAATTCAATAATAAAAAACAACATAATTAAAGAATAACTCTATTGAAATTGATGAAGAATATCTTAACACTCTCATCAATAAAGTAAAAGAAATGAAAGTAGAAAAATGTTCAAACATTGATTACTACTGGAAAAGAAAAGAAACTGAAGAATTCATAAGAGAAATTAATAATAGATTGGTATTGTCAGGAAGCAGAATGTAGGATCTGTAAGATGATATGAATATTTCAATGGTTATGCACCTCTATCTCCAAAATAAAATAATAAGAGACAAATTTGATATGAAATAAAAGAAATCCTAAAGAAAATAAATAGACTAGAAGATTTGGTCAATGAAATTGTAGAGAATAAAGTGCATCATAAAATTAAAAGAATATGATGAAGAAGGAATTAAAGTCAAAACATTAGAAAGAATAAAATACCTAAAATATATGATGACAATGATAAAAGAATTAAATTTAATAAGGAAGAAATAGTCAGAATCAATACAAATAAACTAATGTTTGATTCTAATAAGAAAATTAAAATAAGGAAGAAACAAAAAATGAAATATACCCAAATAACGATATTACTTTAGAATATTTGAAATCGTTATATGAAACACATGTGATATTAAATAAAGAAAATTGGAAAATAAAACAAATCACCTCGTGGAATGAAAGATATATCAATTATGATAATGTCATAATAACATTAAATGAATTAAATATAAGTATAATGAAAATTAGTAACTGGAAATATTCATTGACACAACACATAAGTAATAAAACAAATAAAATATAAAGATAAAATATAAATAAGAAATAAAAAGAATAAAATAATTTTAATAAATGATATTATTAATGTATATCACAATAAGAATGGAGTTAAGTAAATAAAGAATAGTATAAAGAATATAGAAAATATGAAATCTGAAAATAAATTGAATAACAAATTGAATCAAATGGAATAATAAATAAAGCATTAGATTAATTAAAGAATTGAAACAGACATTACAAAAGAAGTTAAAATCTTATTTTATTAATTATTTGATTATTTATTCGAATTAATAGTTTTATATTTGTTTTATTAACTTATTATTTATTACCTTTTGTTTTACTCCGTTGTTATTTCTTCTTTTTTATTCTTTATTTATATGATATTAAATGAATTGTCAGTGTTATCTAAATTGTCTGTAAGAAATTTTATAAACACGTTCAAATCATTTTTATATTCTATTCTTTATAAAAATAACTAATCGAAAATCCATGAAAAATCCAATGTCCACTTTTATTAAGTATTTATTTAGAAATTCTTGAGTTTATTGGGACTTGATAGTTTCATCCTATATTTAGTTAAAAACATAGTTAATCCAAGTAATAAGTAATTGTTAGTACAGATGAAACACTTTTAATATCCATTAAAATGTGCTTTTTAATAAGTTATTAGAAATGAGTTTGTTAAACAATTTTATTGAACAATTCATGTATGAGACATAAAATAATAACAGTTTTGTGATTATATGATAAATAAAAGAATAAAATGAACAAAAGTTGCATGAAAAAGAAACAAAAAATAGAAGGTTTGAAAAAGAGTATAACAAATTAGGTTGTTGTAGACAGGAAATAATGAAAAAAAAGATGATATACAAAGTCAAAATAGTCTTGTTAAGTTAGGAAATAGACTTAAAAACATTTTTGGTAAAAATGGAATATAAACAACATATTGTATAAATTGATAAATTACAAATGAAATTGTTTAGAACAGTTCTATTCCAGCATTATTAACCACTATAAATAAATCATATCCTTTGCCGTTTGTTGAAAACTTCTTTTCCAATCCTTTTTTAGGAATGGCAAACATAATAAATCCGCAACTCTTACAAGAATATATCTTTGCACTTTTACCAGAAGATGGTAGTCTAATTAGGTGAATATTTTAATTAAGCAAATAAAATACAAAAAAAAAGAATAAACAAACACATTCATAACGTTCAAAAGATTCTTCATTCCCACAACATTCTTTTGTTTTACTCCAACCCATTTCATAAATATTGCATCATACGATGATTTTTCTTTCATTGTTTCTAAAAAGATTCTACACCCATTATGACGATTAGGACAACATTCTTTACCATCTGCTTCACATCTACAATTTCTAACTAATTCTTCATCAATGGGTTGGGTTAAAACTATATCAACAATTCCACATAAACAATGGAAATGTCTTAATTTATCATTACCACTGAAAATTGATGGAATTGGATTCTTTTCAAAATACTTTAATCCACTTAAAACAGATTCATGAAGTCTAACATATGGACATACTTTTTGAATGTAAAGATAAGACTCATACTCTGATAAGTAATGTTTTTGCATTGTAAATCCAACTAACAAAGCAGCTGGCATATATCCTTTATCTCCACAAATATATACAGCTCTTTTTGATACAACAAATTCCCTTAATACCTCAATAATTCGTGAAAATAATTTAATCATTTCTTCAATTGTTTTTGGAATAGGATAATTCATAGCAGTAAGTGAAAGTGATGTTGGTAATTCTTCTCCAAAATGCATAACATATTTAATTCCTCTTTTATATACTTCTTCATCATTCATTTCTCCACCAAATAGAACATTATTAAAATATTTAAATACTTGTTTAGATTCTTCAAAATCAACAACTTCTATTCCTCTTTTAATATCAATATCTTTCTTTGATTGAATATTTTCTTCTTCAATTTCTTCATATTGTTTTCTTTCCAACATCTTTCTATTCTTTTCCCACTTCTTTGCTTTAAGTAAATCCTTTTTATTATCTTTTTTAAACTTTTCAATTACTTCATCAAATCTTTGTGCTAATGTAGATATTTGTGGTCGTTTCGTTGGATCTCTGTTTAATACAAATTCAAGAAATCCAATTAAATATTCGTTATTTCCAAGTAATTCTTTATTTTCTTCAGTTAATAATTCTTCACTCTTTAATACTCTGAAATAAAATTCTCCAACATCAGCAATTGCAAAAAGCATTTTTGATGTATATAATTCATATAACAAACAGCCTAATGCCCAAATATCACATGATGCATTTACAGGCATTCCTCCTGCTAAATCCATTTTTAACATTTCTGGTGGTTTAATTGATTCTGTTCCACGATGTCTAGTTGTATTTGCTTCTTTATCATTACGATAAACACATGCCTCCCCAAAATCAGCAAGACATAACTTAAATGGTGGAATTTCTGTTTGTGGATTATTGACTGTTTCTAATGATACTCCAGGTAATGGCTCAATTAAGAAATTTTCACATTTAATATCAAAATGAATAATTCGTTGGTTTAAAACTTGACAAACTCGTAATACTTCTTTGTAAATATTTAACAATAAATGAATTCGTGTGTTTGATGTTGATGGTTGTAAATTTCTTCTCCATGATCCTAATGATGCAGAATATTGATACATAACAATATTATAAAACCCTTCATTATATCCATATTCAAATAAATGAGAAACTCTTTCATCTCTGCAATGTCTTTCAAGAATAAGAATTTCATTAAAAATGTCATGAAGAACACTTCTTGCTTTAGGAGATTCAGAAATTTTAATTTGTTTGATGACAACTTTATTCAGTGTTACATCTGATCCATATTTTACCAATGCCTCAGAACATACTCCATACGCACCTTCTCCAATGACTTTAATAATTGAATATTTTGACATATCAAAAAATTGTTGTGATAATAACCTTAATAACTCTTGAATTCCTGGATTTAACGATTCTTGACAGAATAACTGTTTTGCTATTTCTCTATTTGAACTACGATCTAAATGACATGACAAAATAAATAATGCATCTTTCATACCTTTTAAATCTGGAAATTGGTCAGTATATAATGGGTCTAATACTCCATTCTCCATCACTATTAAATTAAACAATAACATTAAAATCTCTTTATGTACATCACTATTAACATAAATTCTTCTTGTTTTTCTCATATTTTCATATGAATGTTCATCAACTTTTACTACTTCAGTGTTTGTTTTTTCAAACATCATCGTATCAAGAATAAGATGTAACTTCCCTGTTTCCTTAAATTTCTGTTCTACTTGTGTCAATAATCCAGTAGAACTATTAGTTGTACTTCCTGATGCAGATGACGTTCCAGTTCCTGAGTTATCAATAGACTTTCTAATAGCTGGAACCATTTTAAGTGGTGGTGGTCGCTTTTTTCGAGCAGGAGGCATACCTTCTTTCTTTATTTCTTCTTTAACTTTTGTATCATTTGGTTTGTCAGTTGAAACAATTCCTTGAGGTTCTTCAATTCTTGTTTCAACTGGCTTTGTGTTATTGGGTGTTGGGTTAATAGACTCTTTCTTCTTCGACTCTTCCTTTAAAATATTGTCTTCAATAACACAAGGTATTAGTGGTGAAACAGAAGCAATATGTGTTGTTGGAACTTTTATTGATTCATTTCTTTCATTTTCTTGACGTCTGTCTGATGTATTTACACAAAACCTCATGTTATCTTTTCTTGGCTTTTTTGATTCAGTTGAGTCTTCATGAACTTCATTCTCTAATCTTCCTAAACTTAATTCAGTTCCAACTTCCAATGAATTTCTAAGACTAGATGCACTAGACCCCATAGGAGAGGGTGAGGTTTGGTTAACTTGAATTGGATTAGTTTTTAGGAAAGAAAGTCTCATAGGGGTTTTACTTCCATAAACATGTTTTTTTAATGGACTACTAGAAAGAGGAGTATCACTTACATTGTCTTTATTGAAATCAATAACTACACCTCCTTTATGAATGTCCGGAGAACTTGAGTTTGAACCAAGTTCAGACATTGAAATATTTCCAACTTTATGTTTTAAATGAGTTTTTGGTGTTTTTATTGTATCATCAACTCGTTTTTCCATTTGTGGAGAAGAACGTGGGGTTTCAACACTTCCTTTACCAGGAATTTCACTTGTTTCTGGTGACTTAAACTCAGAAAAAGAAGTGTGTGTTTGTTTTTTAGAAGTTTCCAACATAATTCGAGGTGATAATTGAGTAATTCCATCCTTTTTAATATCAATTTCTGGTTTTGTTTCAAATTTACGAGGAGAAAGTGGTTTAGTTGGACTAGCGTTTACACAAAGTCTAGGAATATTAACTTTCATATTTTTTCTTCCAGTCATACGTTTTGTTTGTGCTTTTGGTTGTTCTAATTGTTTTTTAGGTTGTTGTTTAAAAGCATCAAAAATCCCAGTTTCTTCTTCATGAGAGTTATTCCAACTCATATTAAATTCTAACATAACTTCGTGTAATAATAATGAGAATAAACCTAGTCTGAAAAAGGTTTGTCTACTAAACTCAGTTTTATGTGCTGCAAGTCCATTTAACATTTTCAAAGCTCCAACTAATACTCTAATATCATCATCAGTCCAAGTATCTTTATAATATATTTTAATGAATAATTTAAATGCAAATCTAATATACTCATTAACAACAGATTTTCTTCTGATAATTGGTGAATTCACACTAAAGAAATATGTAAAAAAAGAGAGTGCAGTAACTTTAGCGTCAACTCCAAATAAAACAGTTTCATCCCTTAAAAATCTAAAAAGAAATCCATTTGGTGGGACGACTAGATTTTCTAAATTTTCTTGAATTGATGTATAATTTTGATTGTTTGGAAGAGATTTTTGATCAAAGACTTGTAACAAACGAACAAGAACTTGAAAATAAAGAATGGCATATTCTCGTTTCTTTCCAAGTAATTTGTTAACATTTTCATGGTAGTTTGATGTTTCTTTATCCCAATCAATAAGATATCTTTTAATACAAGTAATGGCTAATAAACCAATATTATGAGGTGCATACATTAATTGAATTGCATGAACTGAGTGTGTTTCATTTAAACATTTATTATTAAAAATTTTAAAACAACGACCAACTTCTATTAAAAGGTCATATTGAGAGTCTAAATAACATTCTGTTTGTGGACGTTGAAGACATAAAGAAATAGGCATTAAAATTCTTTCTGATAATCCTAATCCAATTGTTTGATATCTAGCTATTTTCATATAAACTCTAAATATTTTTAATAAAATACAAAAAAAATATGCTCGGAGGGATTTAGATTCTTGTATAACATTTTCCCATGATATTAATATACTAACAATAATATTTTCTTGACCTGAAATAAATACATGTTTAAAATATTCTTCAAGATTAATAACAACTGTAGAAAATGTTAGTTTAAATTTTAATGATATACTAGTCACTAAAAGATGACAAATTTGTTTCATTAAATCTCTATTCCTTTCCATAACAATACTCATTCCAATAATTTTCATTAATTCTTTTAACTCTTTTAATTCTTCTTTATATATTTCTTCATCTTCAGTATCTCTAACTATTCTTTTTTGTTTTTGTAGTGTAACACCTGTTTGATCTACTTTAAGAATATAAGGAAGACTTTCATTAAAAAATGCTTGAGCTAATCGTTTAGCCTCTGTTCTTATTTCGTTTTTTGATCCTGATAATTCTTCTGTTAATTGTTGTGAAATCCCTCCTTTAAGAGGTTTACCAAAATGTTTTGGAGTGATAGCACGTTGAAAACTTCTACTTTGTCTTCTTAAGAAAGTATCATCTTCTTGAAACATTGGACTTGAGAAGAAGATAGACTTTCGTTTATTTTGTATTAATGGGTATGACGACTTATCAAGTTCTTGAGAAGAATTTTTTAAATCAGAATTATTTAAGACAATAGTTTTAATTGAAGGGAGAGCTTGTTCATCAAAAAGATATCCCCCAAAGAGAGATTCATGAATTTGATGAAGCTTTTGAGAGAGAGAGGATGATATCTTTTCTTTTGTTAATAGAGATTGAATATCATCTTTATAATTATTTATCAAATGACCTAATAATATATAAACCCATGAACATAATGGATGACACCGGATATGATCAAAAAGTAATTTGAATACTTTAACTTTATCATTTGGTGAACAAGAAAATAGTCTAATAATTAATGCTTCTAATGATTCTTCTACTCTTATATCATGTAATTTACATACAACTTTAATGTAAGAAGATATTGAATCAAGTATAGTATTATGATCAAATTGTTCAGAATAACACAGTTGATTAATTTCTTCTAATAATTGATCAGCTTTATCATTATTATATTGTATTTGAATAATATGTTGTGTAGTGGTTAAATACTTTTTTAATTCACAAATTGATTCTTCAAGAGTATCAAAACGATTAATAATTTCTAAATTTTCATTTATAAATGTTAAAACACCATTTTCTTGATCCAATTCAATTATTTTTAATCCATGAATATTATTACAAAGTAATCGAGGTGTTTTTAAATCGGGGAAAATAATTTTTTGTTGAGAGGAAGAAGAAGAATCATTAAAGTATTTCGTTTTCATAAGAAATTGAATGAACTGTTGATATAAAACAAATTGAGTGAATAAAGTTTTAATATTATTAATTGTTGTGTTTTTAATATCACAATTAATAACAGGTTCCATTTCCTTTTTTTGGGTTTTTGTTTTATAAATTTTTGTTGTAACAAAATCATTTAAAAATGAATAGTGTAATATAAGATGATAATATTTAATTGTCATAATAATTCCTCTATTTTTATAAATAAATAATACTTTTATAATGTTATTTAAATAACAAACTTTGACGGTTCATTTAATGTTGGATGAAGTACCCAAAATAACATTGATGATGGTGGTAATTTTTTCATTGCTTCATTCATATCATTTTTATTAGTTAAAAATAACACTAATGGAACATCATTAGGAGTACTAGAAAGTGGTGATGTGAAACTATATCTAAAACTAAGCCGAGGAGATGTCATTTAGGATGTATTACAAAATAAATTAATTTTTAATTTTATTTTTTTTTAATTTTTTATTTTTAATTTTTTATTTTTAATTCTTTACTAATTTGTTATTATTAATTATTAAAATTTTTATTATTATTTATAGTTTTTACTTTTTTTGTTTTTTTTTTTTTTCATTTCATTTTGTACTTTCTATAAACTAATTTTAAATCTCTTTTAAAATTATTCAAATACTTCTTTAGTATCATTTTGCAAATTTTTTTTTTTATTACATCCTTAAAAAAGAAATTAGTTTTTAGTAATTAAAATAAAGAATATTTTATAAATTCAATTAAAAAATCAATAAACTTTTAAATTTGTATTAATTTAAATACATTCAAAAGCAATAAATTTTGTTATAATAACTTTTGAATTAGATTTTCCAACTAAATTTAAAGAATTAGAGTTATATGTAGAATCAAAAGAAGAATAAACCATAACAGTGTTATTAGAATAAATAGAATAACCTGAGAAAATATCAACTACATTATTATCTTCAGAATCATCATGAAGATGAAGAATACCATTACCAATAAATTTTGTTGGTTCAATAAGATAAGGAGAAGATAAAGAGAATAAAAAATGATTTAAATCATTAGAAATCATTGATTTATCATTTGGAATTATTGAATGAAAAGAACCAAAAACATATCCTTTTTTTGTGAATGCCATTAATAAAATATTTTCTTTTCCTTTTAATAATGTGTTAAATGAACAAGCAGTTAAACCATCAGAATTACTATCATAAATTAATTTAAATGTTTGTTTAGATGTCCATTCTTTTAATGGTTCATAAAATTTATGAAAAAATGATTTTTCTATTATTGGAATTCCAATAAAATATTTTTCATTTTCAATATTTTTCATATCAATTCCTTTTCTTTTGTTTATACTTTTTTCTTTTTGTATTTCTTTTGTTTCTTTCTTAATTTCTAATTCATCTTTTGATTCTTTTTGAATAATAGTATTACTATTTTCTTCTTGAATTATTTTTTGTTTTTCATAACATTTTTCTTGTGTATTTATATTTTTATTATTTAAACTATCAAATGATGTAGTTGTTGATGTAATAGAGTCATTATATCCTTGAAATTCTTTAAAAGGAGTTGATATGAAATAAATATTACCATAATTAAATAAATTAGTAATTCCACCATTCATTATTATTTATTAAATAAATATTTTAAGTTTTTTTTATAAATGAATGGAAGAAAAAAACTAACAATAAAAAATAAAATAATATAAATGGATTGAATCTATTTCTTTAATATAAAATTAATTTTTTGTTCAAATTGAATAATTCCACGATATTGAGTAAGCATTTTTTTTAATATATCTCCAATACTTTTTTTAATAACCTTTTTATTTACTTCATTATTATGACATGAACAATATAAAAATGTAATTATTTTTAATAATATTAATTGATCTTTATGTAATTCTAAAAATGGTCTAATTCTATCTAAAAATCCATTTTCTCTTGTTTGTTCTTTAACTTCTTCACATAATGACATATTCGCTATTGCTCCAAACCCAAGTTTAACTAAATCTTCATCTTCTTTATGTTGTTCAATTGCATATATTATTGCATCTAATGCTCCTAATAAAAATAATTTTTCTCTTGACTCTTTTACTGCTGCTATATTAATTAATGCACTTAATCCTTTACAACATATTTCTAATTCTGTTGTTGCTGATAAAACAACTGTTTCAACAACGCTTTGAGCTACTTTGGTAGCAAATAAAAATTCATGCCACTCTTCTGTCTTAGCAATAGTAACTACAATATTTAATGCTTTCTCTAATACATCTGTATCTTTAAAATTTGATACTATTCTTGTTATTCCTTGTAATACTCCTGATGACACAAGTAATCCAATATCTTTTTGTGTTGACGTAAAATAATTTAATGCAATAAATGTTTTATCAATTAATGATTCAAGTGTATATTCTCCAAGAATACTTGGAATACAATGAAACAATTGGGTTTCAATTAATATTTCTCTTCCATGTTTTGATTTAGCAAATGCAGCAACACAACCCATTGCTCTTGCTCCAATAACAGTATTTTTATATTTTTCAATAACATCAACTGATAATAAAATATAATGATCACATAATAAATCTGCAGCATCTGGATCAACAATAATATTCATTAATAATGCACATCCTTTTTCAACTAATTCATCTTGTCCACTTAATAATATTCTGTCTAAAGCTTCTTCTAAATTCCATTCTAATAAATAAAGTGAAAATGATGCATTAACTGACATATTAATAGCTAATGTTAATACTATTATTGTATTTTCAAATGATTTATTTGCTGCAAATAATGCTTTAATACATATTTCTGCTAATATGGAAACAATTTCCCCATTTTCTGGTAAACCTTTATATATCATTGAAACAACTTCAAATCCTGCTTTAAGACATCCTGGATCTACTACTGTTTTTAATAAACTTTTTGCAAATAAAACAAACCAAGATGGATCATACGATAATTGTTTTACTGCACTATCATCATATAATAATGATGCAATATAACCATAAAGATTTCTTGCTGTTTGTTCTGAAAGATCGCTCATTAATGATTCTACAACCCAACGAACACCCCCTTTTTCAATTGTTTCTGCTTTTCTTTTTTCATCATCACAAACAAAATTCATTATTAATGCTACTGCATTAGCTACATCTGTTGTAGGAATTCTTTTAACACATGGAATAATATATTCAATAGGATAATTTTTATATCTAAATAATTGAATATATAAACTTACTAAATCACTTTCAGTCCTGTTTGAAACTACATCACATACAACTGTTAAATAATTATCTGATGGAGAAATTAATAAAACATTTGCTAATCGTTTTAAAACATCAATAGATGAATTAAATTGAATTTGTGAAAAGAATGGAACTGTTTCAAAATCAAAGCATTGAAAAATATAATACAATCCATCTAATAACCAACATAACATTTCTTCATTTTTGATATCAATTATATTCATAATACTAATTATACGTTTTGCATATTCTTCATTAAGTAATTCATATTTACTCAACTTTTCTATTAAATATGAACACATTAACCCAAATCTTTTGTGATTGTTTTCTATCATTGTTATTAAGATTTCAACATCTATTAAATCACTTGTTTGATCACACAACACTGATGTAACTGCTTCTATTAATTCATTAGATGATCTGTATTTAATAATTGGCCATAATAATTCCATTAATTCTCGTTTTTTATTATCATCAACTTTCATTTGTTCAACATAATAAACAACATCTTGATGAAGTAATTCGTTAGTAGGGTCATTATTAATTTCTGTTACAAGTTGTTCAAAGGGAAAAGGTGGGTTCATTTTAGTTAGAGTTTACCAAACTAAAATTTTTTCTTTTTTTCCTTCCTTTTTTAGTTTATGGATAATATTTTTAGAAAAGTTTTTGCATTTAAAAAAAAAAAAAGAAAAAAACGTTTAATAAAAATAGAATAGTTTTATTATAGTATATTATAATAAAATACTATTACATATAATAAAAGAATTATAAAAAAATAATAAAAAGAATTGTTTTAAAAAGACTCAACAAAACGTAAATTAGAAGCGACAAAGAACAATTCCAATATTATCAGGATGTTGTCCAGATATACAACTAACACAAGCAATATCTTTAACTAAACCAGATAATTCACTTGTTCTATAAACTCTTCTATTTGAATGTAATATATCATGAATTTTTAAATTAGAAATTTCATCCCAAACTCCATCAGTTGCAACAACTAAATACTCTTCATCATCTCTTCTATCAAAACAAGTAATGTCAGGTACATGTGTAATAATAGGTTTATTTTTTACATCACCAACAGAACGAGCAACAAGTAATCCACAAACTCTAAGATTTTCAGATACAAAACCTCCTTGTGAACGAATTCTCATTTGTTCTATTCTATCACTTGTTTTATGTTCTGGAGCTAATTGAACAACTCCAGATGAAGTAATATAAACAGCACGACAATCTCCACATTGTGCAGTATAAATTTTAGTAGGAGTCATAAATATTACTGTTGCAACAGCACCATCAGTAACATTAGGATCATTTGCAAATTCATTTTGAATAGTATCAAATGATTGATATAAAGCATCTATAATATTTAATGCTCCAGAATCTCTTGATAACATTTCATAAAATATTTCTGGAAATCTAATAGAAAACTTATAAGAAACATATTTTCCAGAATGTCCATCAATTCCAGCAAATAAATAATGTTCTGGTGCTGCGAAATGAGGAATACAAATTAAAGAATCTTGCATTTCATCTCTATCAGCACACATTTGTGCAGTTGCACAAGTAGTAGGGATTGACCTAAACTTAAGGTTATGATAAAATCTAGATAAAAATGGGAATTTTTGAAGACGAATACAACCATTAATAAGAACAGTTGTAGAAGGATTATGATTTGGTAATTTAATTAAATCATTAAAAGATAAATCTAATAAAGCAAGATTTTTAAAGTCATTAACATCAATAAATGATTGAAGAGAATTATAAGATAAATCAAGATAAATTAATGAAGTACAACCATTAAAATTATGAGGAATTGATAAATAATTATTACTTAAATTTAATTGTTCTAAATGAGATAAATTAATAATAGAAGTACAAGAAGTTAAGAAACAATTAGAAATATCTAAAGTTTGAAGATTAATAAGAGAAGATAATAAAGGAATTGATTCAAAATAATTAGAAGAAATATATAATTTAGATAAATGAGATAAATTTAAAAGAACATTAGGAAATAAAGTAAATTTATTTTCAGAACAATGTAAAGTAGTTAATGAAATTAAATTTGAAAATTCATTTGGTAATAATGAAATATTATTTCCAGTAATATATAAAGTTTTTAATTGAGTTAATCCACCGATTTGAGAAGGAATTACATTTAATTTATTAAAAGAAATATCTAAAAATGTTAATGAAGAGAATTTATTCAAATCCATATCAAAAGAAGATAATTTATTAAATCCAATACTTAAATAATTTAATCTAGACATATCTGGTTTATTTGGTAATGAAGTAATTTTATTATTACTTAAATCTAAAACACATAATTTTGAATTAAAATAAATTGAAGAATCAATAAAACTAATTTCATTATTTCTAGCTAATAATTTTTGAATAGAACATCCTTTTTCAATTATTAATGTTGTTAATTTATTATTTGAACAATTACAACTTATCATTTTTTCTGATGTTAATGTTAATGTTTTAAATAAATTATTTGATACATCAAGTGTTTCTAAATTCTTTAATATTGAATAATTATCAAATAATACATCTACTCCTACTTTTGAATAATTTAATTCTTTTAATGTTGTTATTGGATTAAATATTAAATTTTGTGTTCCATTTACATTTAATTTTCTAATTCTCATTACTTCAAAATTGGGTGGAACATTATTAATTGGATTATTAGCTAATTGTAAATATGTTAATGAAGTAAGAATTGAAAAATTTTTTGGTAATGATTTTATTTTATTATTTCTAAGATCACAACTTTTAAGTGAACTTAAAATTGTAATATCATCTGGTAATAATTCAATATTATTAAATGACGCATTGATTCTTTCTAAATTTGGACAATTTAAATTTGGAAATGACGTTAAATCATTTTGTGAAATATCTAAAAATGTTAATCGTGTTGAACTAAAATTTAATGTTGTAAAGAAATTAGCTGAAAGATCTAATCGTTGAATATTAAGATTAAAATTAAATTCATGTAATTTATTTGCACATGCTTCAAATGATGTTAATTGTGTTAATTCAGTAATTTTATTATTAATTTCTTCTATTTTATTTTGATTTAAACAAATATATTCTAATCCTGTTAATGAAAATAAATAATCATTTACTTCTCTTAACTTATTACTTGCAAATGATATTTTCTTTAATGAACTAAATAATTGAATGGTTTCAGGTATTTCTTCAAATTCATTATTCCCAAAATTTAATTCTCCTACATTTATATAAATACTTTGTGTTCTACATAATTCTTCGGGAATAACTTTAAGGTGTTGATCTATCTTTTTAACTATTGCCATTCTTTCTTTTTCTTTTTTTTTAAGTTTCTTTTTTCTTTTTTTTTAAGTTTCTTTTTTCTTTTTAAGTTTTTTTGTTTAAAGAGTTTCAAAAAACAAATTTTTTTTTGTAATATATAACAAAATAAAAAAAACATTTTAATTACTTTCCCATTAACATTATATTTAAATGAGAATTTGTTTTTAATTCAATAAACTTTGTTGAAAATTCATCAAAAGTTATTTCATTCGACATAAGTTTAGAAATAAGTTCAGAACAATTTTGATTAATTTGTTTATTTTGTTGTTGTAATAAACTTTTTAAATAAGTAGATGATTTTTGTTTTTCAATTTCCTCTTTTTTTTGAACCAACTCATTTTTTTGAACTTTGAGTTGTTCCAATTGATTTTTTAATTCAGTTATTTCAGGATTTTCAGGTGTTTGCATTTAACTTCCTTTAATACTTTTTTAAGATTGTTCTCATTTCATATATTGTTTTTAATCCTCATTCTTCATAGTTTATTAAATAATAAAAATATTAAATAATATAAAGTATATTAAAAAAAAAAGAGTTATAAATTTATTTTGTTTGAATGTTTTGAGATAAATCCATTTCTCCAAGTAGATGATAACAATTAGAACATATTTCTATTTTTTCTTGATCATTTGTTGTAGCGTATTCCAATAAAAAATTTTCTAATAATGTATGAATAGTATTTTCAATATCAGTAAAACTTCCTAAAAGATTAAATAAATTTCAAAGATTTCTTTATTAAGAAAAAAAAAAAACAAACGTGATATTTTTTCTGCACATTCTGCTTCATTATGACAATGAATAAGATATTTTAACATTTCTAATTGATAACATGCTGTTTCTACTTGTTCTACACTTTTAGGTTGAATAAGATTATTTTTAAGTCTTTTATAACAATTCATTATTTGCATTTCAATTTTTTGTTTTTCCATTTCTTCTTCATGAACTTGTTTTTGAGTTAATTCATTAACTACTTCTTCAATTTCTAATTTAATTAATTTAATTTTATCTGAAGTTTGTTTTTCAAGTACTTTCATTGGATATTTGATTTCATTTGTAACTTCTTTAATTTCAGATAATGTTTTTGAGAGAAATACAAGATCTTCAAACCTTGTATTAATAAGTTCAATTAATGCATTAGAATTTTTGTTTTTATACTCTTGTAATTCATTGGCAATACCATCTATGTCTCCATCACTTTCACATTTTCCAATACATTCCCAAACGTCAAATTCATTGTAGTCAGTAATATATTTGAGTATTTGTTCTCGGGATGTTGTTGTCATTCTGACTTTTGGAGTTTCAATAGAATTTACTATTCATTTCTAGTAAATATTATTATAAATATAAATTATTTTATACTAAAGAAAAAGAAGAATGAAATCTTGAAAAAAGGAGTAAAAAAACAAAACATATATTGATGGGAGATACATCATTTGATAAACTCAATCAACTCCTAAATGAAAAGAAAAAAGAAAGGATTTGGCTTGAGAAAGAACTCCAAAACCTTAAACTTGTTAACGAATCAATTACATATGAAACAATACTCAATGAAGATAAAAACTTAAAAACTAGCTTAGATAAAATACAAGAAATAGAAAAAAAAGTGAACCAATTATCTTTTCAACGATTAATACTTCCAAGTGAAATTAAAAATAATTACCTACCCTTATTTGATTCAATTCAACATATTCAAAAACCATTTCTTATTACTCAACCACTTATTAGAACAAGTACACCTTCTGAAAGTGAAGTGTCTGAATCAAGTGAATTATGTATTAAACCAATAAATGGTTATATTCCACCAAGTCAACGTATTTCAATTCACTTTGGTAAAATTGAAAAAGAACAAAAAGAATTTACAACTCAAGTTATAGAATTTGATAAATCACCAGAATTAGATAGAAACTTTGATATATTAAAAGAAAAAATGAAACATAAACATTATCGTTGTTTTTATAATTCATCATTAGATGGATTATATAGTGCTAAAATTAATTCAAGTTTAAGAAATGTAAAAAATGCAATGTTTATGATAACGTCAACAGATGGATTTGTATTTGGTGTATTTTCATCATCTTTTCAATCATCAAAACATTCATATGGATCTCATGATTCTGATGGATTTGTATTTACATTATTGAACCCACTTCATTTAGAACCAGTAATTTCATTTAACTCAAGTGATAATATGATTACTTTACCGTTGTTAAAACGAAAAGATGAGATTTTTTCTATTCCAGACTTCCTTTGGATAACTAAACAAAAATGTTGGATTGAAGTTGATGACTTTTGTGCTGTATATTCATTACCACCTTTTTGTGATAATCAAAGTTTTAGTAATATTTTTACTCCATTAAATGATAACAATGAATTTTTTTTGGACAGCATCTATGGCTTGGAATGGTTTGATGATTGATTTTTCTTATGATTTTTAACTTTTTTACTGTTTTTTTCTAAAATCAAAGACTAAAAATAAATCATCAGATGAAAATAAACTTTTTCTGACTTCTAATATTAGACTATGAAATTCTTGATAGAAGCAAGAAGATCTAAAATAAAAAAAAAAAATTCGAATAGAAACCTCAAAAAGTACTTCAATTTTACATACTATTCAATATCCAATCACCAAAAAAATGAAAATAAAAAATCACAGTAATTAAATAACACATAAATAAAAGTAAAAATGAAAGAATTCAATTAACAATAAGAAACAACATCATATGGACAGAAAAAACATCCTTCTTTTTTAACTATAAAACACTTTTGGTTTTCTTTAAGATGAGATTTAAGAATTTTAATTAATAGAGCAAAACACTTTTCACGTTTTTTAGCAACATAATTATCAGTTAAATTATGTTTGGTTCTTGACAAATGATTAGCAAAAAGATTTATCCAGAACGCATACTCTTCTTCATTTTCAATAAAATACCATTTTTGAGTCATTTTCTCTACTTCTGTTTGCATGATGTGTACATATTTCAGTTTTCAGTTCAGCTTTTCTACGTCAAAGATTTTTTTTTTTTTTGAATTTTCTTGGTGATGAGTATTGTTTCGAGCTCGCTTCATTAAAAAACTATTTTAATAAGAACTGAAATTTATAAATCTATAAATTATTTATAAAACAAAATATGAAAATTCTAACAAACAAAATAACACAATTTATAAAAAGAAAAAAAAAAAAAGAACTTAAAACAAATTTTTTAGTTAAATGTCATTTTTAACTTTGTTCAATACATCAAAAATTAAAGGAACAAATGGACTTTATAATTTAGGTAATACATGTTATATGAATGCTGTAATACAATGCATTGCACATACCAAACAATTTTTAGAATATTCATTACAATATCAATTAAAAGTTTATATAAATGAAAATAACACAAAATGTTCATTAATAGAAAATGTTACCGAATCTTTAATAAAAACAATTCAAACATTATACACTCGTAAAGAATCAATTTATCCTCAATATTTTTTTACTACATTTGGTATTTATAACCAACAATTTTCTGATAAAAAACAAAAAGATGCTGCAGAATTTTTGTTATTATTACTTGATGTTATGGACAATGATCTTCGAGGTACAAGTATTATTCAACCACCACCTATAATACATAATGAAGTTTATTATAAAGATTATATTGAATATATTAAAAATAATAAATCAATTATTACTCAAATGACAACTGGAATAGTTGTAAGTAATTTTTGTTGTGAAATTTGTGGAATATCTTCAACTCATTCTGAACCATTTTCATTGTTACAATTACCAATTATTAAAAATCTTTCATTTTTTAAAAAAGTTAACTTTAAAAATTATTCTGAATTAAAAGAATTAAAATATATAACAATTTATGATTGTTTAATTGGTTATTTATACTCTTTTCAAACATGTGTTAATTGTAATCATACACAAATTCATAATAAAGAATTCGTTGTAACACCTCCAATTCTTATTATTCAAATTCTTCGATTTGAACAACATTCAAATAACACACAAAAAGATCAAACTACAATTCTTTTCCCTTTAAATGATTTTGTTATTGGAGTAACAAAATATCAATTATATGCAACTATTGATCATACAGGTTCAATTAATCATGGTCATTTTACTGCTAATTGTAAAATAAATAATTTATGGTATCATTTTGACGATGAAACAGTAAAACCTCTTAATAAGATAGATATTGTTTCAAAAAAGTCATATATATTGTTTTATGAAAGAATTTAACTTTTAACTACCTAAAGTACTATTAGTAAACAATTTACTTTCAAAACATTTTACCAAAAAAGAAATAATTATTTACTCTTTTTCTTTTCTATCTTCTTTCGTTTTTGTTTACACCTTTTCCTTTTAAATTATAATATCCTCTCTTTCTATCTTTTTAATTTTAAAATAATTATTAAAATAATAAATAAAAAGAAAAGGTGAGAAAAGAAATATCAAAATTATTTGAGATTATCAGCAAGCCAATCAAGACCCTCATAAAGTCCATCACCATTAGTTGCACATGATGTTTGACAATACCATTTACGATTCTTAATTGTTTGTAATCCAAGTTTTTCTGTAACTTCAGAAATAGACATAGCTTGTGGTAAATCATGTTTATTAGCAAAAACAAGCAAAATAGCATTTCTCATCTCATCTTCATTTAACATTTTCATTAATTCTTCACGTGCTTCTCCAATACGGTCTCTATCATTAGAATCAACTACAAAAATAATTGCTTGAGTATTTTGATAATAATGTCTCCATAATGGTCTAATTTTATCTTGTCCTCCTACATCCCAAACAGTAAAGGAAATATTCTTATATTCAACAGTTTCTACATTAAATCCAATAGTTGGAATAGTAGTGACAATTTCTCCAAGTTTTAACTTATAAAGAATTGAAGTTTTACCGGCAGCATCAAGTCCTACCATCAAAATTCTCATTTCTTTCTTTCCAAGTAATTTACTTAACCAACTTCCCATACTGTTTTTTTGGTTTTAATAAGTTCTAAGTTCTTTCTTTTTTTAAGTTACACTAAAAACCCTAATTTCCCGATTTGATAGACGTTCTAGTTCCAATTTCCTTTATCGAAATTTCTCGAATGAAGCTTCTTTTTATTCACTTTTTTTTCTTTTATTCTTTAACAACGAGATAATAAATATTGTTTTATTTATTTATAATATATTTATTTAATGAAAGAATCAACAAAAAAGAAAACTTCTTTTATTTAAATAATCAAATTTAAAAGAATATATAATATCTTTCTTCCCTTTTATTTAAAAAAGCCAATTCTATATAATTGATATAAAAATCAATCAAATTACTTGTCTTTAATAATTTTTTGACTAACCTTTTGAATTACCTTTTTATTTTATTGTTTTGAATGTATTTTTTTTGTTGGTTTCTTTTCTTGTTTTTGTTTTGCTAATTTTCCCATATTTGCTTTAACTCTTTCTTTATAAACTCTTTTTCTTTCTTTTTTCATTTCTAATGCTTTAGTAATTCTTTCAGCTTTCTTTTGTTTGATTTTGTCATAATTTTTATAACATGGTTCAACTCTAATTTGTCTTCCTTTAACTTTTTCTCCAACCATATTAAGTCCTTTTTGTACATCTTCCTTATTTGTAAATGTAACAAAACCAATACCTCTTCCCATACCTGATTTAGACTCTCTAACAATTTTAACACGTTCTATTTCTCCAGCTTTGCTAAAGAGTTTTCTTAATTGTTCTTCTTCCATTTTAAATGGTAAATTACCAACAAATATTGTTTGTCGAATATTTCTTTTCTTTCCTTTATTAACTTCCCAATCAGCTCTTAAATGATATCCTAAAAATTCTTTTCCATCAATTTCTTTAGCAGCTTTTTCTGCATCTTCTGGAGTAGTATAAACAGCATAACAATTTTGTGTTTTTCTTACTTTTGTATCATATTCTTTCTTTAAGAAATGGACTTTCTTTGATTTTTCATCCTGAATAAATGCACCACCACGAAATCTATATGACTCTAATTTACCAAACTGTTTTAAAAATTTTTTCATTTGAGCTGGTTTAACTTTAATATTAACATTTGCAATAAATACAGTTCTTTCTGCTTCTTTAGAGTGAGTTATCAAACTTAACTCTTTTCTTTCTTTTTTACTTTTATATTTTGGTTTTTCATCCTCCTCTGATGAGTCTTCTTTATCACTTTCTTTTTGTGGAACACCTCCTAAAACAATATCTTTTGCATCAATATCTTCTTCAATATCTTCTTCTGATTTTGACTCTAATTCTTCCCCTTCATCTTCTTCTTCATTACTTATATCTTCATCTTCTTCATTTTCATTATCATTTTCATCATCTTCTTCTTCATCTTCTTCTTCATTTTCATCATCATCATCTTCATTACTTATATCTTCTTCATTTTCATTATCATCTTCATTACTTATATCTTCTTCTTCACTAATTCCTTCCTCTGTTGAAACTTCTTCTTTATCAATATTTTCATCTTCACTTTCTTCTTCCATTGGAACACCATTCATTTCTGTTTCTTCATCTTCATCACTAATGTTTTCTTGATTGTTATTTGTATTTTTAACAACGGAAGAAAATGCAGTATTATCCCACAAAGACATAATAGACTGTTTTTCAGGATAGGGTTTTATATAATTCAGTTTATTATTATAAAAATTAGTTTAAATTAATAAAATCTATAAATTCACTTTGATGTTTTGGTCAGTAAAGCAAGAATTCTCTATTCTTTCATTTATCTAATTCTAAAACAACAACAATAAGATATAAAAAACTTTAAAGAGTTATTATAAAAACTCATCTACAGAAGATGAGAGAACTAAGTTTTTAGAACATTATGCATTTCTTTTCTTTCTTTTCTTTTTTATCCTTCTTTCCTTTTGAATCATTAGCCTCTGCAGTTGTGGCAGAAGGTTCTGTGGCTGCTCTATTTGCTTTGATGTCTTTAACTAAAGCTTGGAAAGTTTCAGTAATATTAATTTTAGCTTTAGCAGAAGTTTCAAAGAATAACACTTTCCATTGTTCAGCTAAGTTTTTAGCTTCATTAGTTTGGACTTGTCTTTCACTTTCTAAATCGCATTTATTTCCACAAAGAGCAATTGAAACATGTTCTGATACATCTTTATCAAGAACACGATATAATTGTTCTCTAAATCCATTGGCTTCTAAGAAAGATGTGGTTGATGTAATGGAATATACAATAACATATCCATCACCTGATCGCATGTATTGATCTCTTAAAGCAGAATATTCTTCTTGACCTGCAGTATCCAAAATATCAAGTGAAACCATTTCTCCATCAACAGAAATAGATGTTCTATAAGAGTCTTCAATAGTTGGATCATAAATTTGAACAAAATGTCCTGATACTAATTGAACAGTTATAGCAGATTTTCCAACAGCACCTCCTCCAAGCATAACTAATTTATATGTATTGGCAGTCATATTTATTTCTTTTAAAGTGAATTTTTTAGTTTTTATTAGATTCTTTTTATATATTTATTATATTTTTTTTCTTTTTTTTTCTTCTTTTCCATTCTTATTAATTTTATTTATATTTTTTATTAATTCTTCTATTTCTTCCCTTTTTTTTAGTTCTTTGTATTTGCTTGTATATTCTTCTTTTTACTCCCTTCAATTCGGGCTTCTTACCTAATTAAAATTTAAAAAAAACTTCACTTTTTAAAATTATAAATAGATTATTCTAAAAATACTAAAACAGTCTGCTCAGGTTGTTCTGTTTGAATGTATTGTATAACTCTGTTGGAAAAAGGTGAGGTTTGTTTTTGTCAAGTTTCAGGTGAGTAGCTTTTTGTGAAGTGAAGTTAGTATATTTTGATTTTTATTTATAAGCTCATCAAGCTGATTTATATCTTCAATAATTCCTTTTAATTCTTTTTGATTAGAAGAATTACTTTGGAAAGATTGACAAAGTTGTACTGAGACTGGTGTCATTTCATTGGTTATATCAAATGTGAAAAATGGATTAATGTTTGGGTTCATCTCTTTTTTAACCAATACAAAAGAAAAATCTCTAAAAAAAAGTATTAAATATTTGTTGGGGGTGATTAGATACAATCTACTCAGAATATGAAAAGATTTTATCACAAAAATCTATGAACTAAATAAACCATAAAATATAAATTACTTCAACACAGCAAAGAGGTCTTGTTTATAGAATTGTTCATTTATGTTTTTAATTTCTTCTTTGATTGTCTTTTTATAGTTGAGTCTAAATGTTGGAGAAAACATGGCAGTTCTTTCACCATTTATTAACTTTCTTAGTATAAAATCTCTGAAAATATCATCATGGAAGTATGTTCCTGTTTCATTAAGATATGGAGGGAAAGAATTAATTTCAGCTTTTGCACAAACAGTAACTTTATAATGTATATTATCAATTGTTGGTTTATCAGGTGTTACAACAATAAAAATACTATTGAAATGACTTGTTAATATTCTTGGATCAAATGTATCATTTTGATTACTTTGTTCTTTAAAAATTAATACAACAACATCATTACCCACATGTCGTTTTCTTTCAAGTCCTTGTCCATCATCTTGTAATAATGGGATTAAAGGTGATACATGAAACATAATTTCAAAGTTATGAGTATGAGAAATATAACTATGAGTTCCTGTACTACCACTTTTGACGTCTAACCCACCTCTATAACCAGTCCAACCATTTAATTCAATTTTATTACCAATTAAATCTAAAAATTTCCAGAAAGCAGGAGAACAATCCTTAGCACTAGTAGTAAAGATTTTATTTTCATCATTTTGGTTAGGTTTAACATAAATTACTCCAAATTTAAAATGAGTAATAATTGATTTATTTTCCATTTCAAATAAAGCATCATCAAGTTCAGGTGTATTATCTAAACAAATAACATTTTTTGGTTCATTAAAGAATTTGTCATAACATTGTGGTTTTTCAGATTCTTCTTTTCCAATGAGACAACGAATAACTCCTTTATTATTTCTTAATATACAACGAGACACTTCTTTAAATCTTTGAATAGAACATATAACATTTTCTTCTTTAGATAAATAATGTTTAACATTAGGATTTCTATAGAAAAATTCCTTATAAAAAGGAAATTCTGATTCAAAGTCAACAATTGTCATATTTTTTAATGCTGTTTTTTGTTCTATACTTGATTCATCACATTCAATACAATATCCATCTTTTTCAATGTCTAATGGAATTAAACATTTTCTTTTTTGTTTTGTAGAATAAGAATCAATTGGCATTTTTAATGTACTCCAACAATCAATTTTAATTGTACCTTTATAAACAGGTTCTCCACACATAGCAAATACCAAATCTCTTTTAGTAATTTTAGCTTTATTCATTCTTTTATAACCTGTTAATGATTCACATACTAATACTGGTTCTGATGATTTTTCAAAACATTCTAAATTTTGTTTAAATAACTGAAGAACCATTAAATTTTCTTGTTCTTCTTTTGCTTTTTCTTCTGCTGTTTTTTCTTTTTCAAATGTTAAAGCTTCTCCTATTCCTTTAAAAACAGACCCAACAGATGCCTTTCTTTTCTTTTTTGGTTTTTCTGTTGGTGAACTAATAGTAGGAATTTTACTATCAGAACAAGTAAGTGGTTCACTAGAAGTAGAATTTCTTTTCTTAGAGAATTTACTTTTGAACATTATATTTTATACTGACATATTTTAAGTTCTTCAAGTGAAATAAAAATATTCTCCAAAAGAATAATTCTTTCATGATATTTTATTTAGTTTATTTTCTTCTTCTTTTTATTTCCAAAATACATAAAAAATAAAAATAGGAAGGATGTACTAAAATTATAAATGAAAGATATACTTAGGAATTTTAATATTATTTATTCATATAAAAAGGAGAATAATTCACTAAAATTTTTTATTAAAAATATTTATAGAATTTTTATTTAAAATAAAAAATAGAAGAATAATATTAGTTAATTTGTTGCTCCATTTTTACTTTACTTTTCTTTTTTTTTTTTTAAATTTAACATATAAGATAAAAAATTGATATAAAATTATCATTTTAGATGAAGTGATTAGAAAATGGATCTTTTTCGTTTTTTATCAGACAAATTTGCTTTCTTTTCTTTCTTTTCACCTGACTTCTTTTTTTGGCTTTTCCTATCATTTTTTGATGAGTCTGTTTGTTCTAAATTAATTCCAGAAGATTTCTGACTGTCTAATTCAATTTCCTTTTTTTCTGTTGTTTCATCTAGTTTTAATACACGAGACTTTCTTTGTGAATCAGTTACAAAACCTTTATGGGTATATCCTTCTATGTTATATTTTTTTAAAAGGTATTGATTTTTATCTCCAACGTTTGTCTTTTCTTCTGAACAGTCTTCACATGATCCTATCCTTTCAATATTTCCAAAAGCATTTCCTAATGAAATGAGATGTTGTATATCGTTCATTGAGTGTTTTTGTATATCTTCTATTTTACAAATACCTAATTTCTTTAAAAAGTTTTTATGTATCATTCCACATTTTAAACATAAGAAACATCCAAAATCCATATCAACACAATGTACTGGTGTAGTTCCACAATCAGCACATTTTTTATTATATTTATTTTGTATTAGTCCATAAACAATATCACATGAATTTAATTGAAGAGTACGTTTTTCTTCTTTAAATATTTCAGGACTGGTTTTATCAAAACTATGTTGTTTAATAAATGATTGTCTAATATAAAATACCCATAATAATGCTGCTGCTGTAGATGTAGTTTTAAATGTAATTTTTTCTTTATTATCATCACAATAATTAATTATAGAAAATGATGTTGGAGGTTCAAATATAACAGAAAGACATTGGGTTAAATAAAGTGAAATGGGGGAAGTCTTTTTATAAGCATCCATAACATTATTAAATAATGCCAAATATTTTCCAGTTAATATTAAATATTGATCATTATCTCCAACATCTCCTTGCCATACAAGTTGATTTAAATATTCTTTATCATTTATTGAAATATTTTGTTTGTATTGAGAAATTAATTCAGGATTTGAACAAGTAATTGTGACTAATGTTTGTTCTTGAGTTTGTGAAATTTGACTATCTAATTTAGCACACCAACTCATTTTTATATCTTTATTTGAACAAGAAAATCTTAGTGTCTCTCCTGAATCAATTACAAGACCAAAAGCTGGTAATCCTTCAATATCAACCCAATCAACAACAGTAAACCGTTCAAAAGGAATAACTAATTCTACACTTAATTGTTTTTTAGATTCTAGAATAGGTTCTAATGTTTCAGGAATTAATTCTCCTTTATGTAAAGTACCAGTTGTTAATATTTTTGCAATGACTAAATTATCATTAAACAAAAAGACGTTAACATTTCTACTTTTGGCTTTTGGTTCAGCGTCATATAACGTTAATACTCCAAATTTTACAAATGTTGTAGATCCTTTTAATTCAATTGGATTAACACCTTGTGAATATTTAAATTTATTCAAAAGTTGAATAGTAATTTGTTGATTTTCCTTTTTTCTTTTATTTTCATTTACTATTATTCCAACTTCTGTTATTCTTTGTAATGAATCATATAATTCTTTGTATTCATCGTGTTGTGGTGGTACTGTTTTAATAAGTTCTTTTAATAATAATCCATATCTAGGAATACGTTGAATAGGAAGAATAACATAAGAATTAAATGATTCCATTTTATGAGTTGTTCTAGTTTTGTTAATAGTACTTTCAAATTGTTTATTTGTTTTTCTTAATTTATTTTCATGTTCATTTATATCATCTGTACTATTAACATAACTACAATATGTTTTAAGAAAATCTGACAATTTCTGAAATACACTTCCAATGCCTTGTCCATAATAATATCCTTTCTTTTGAAGGTCAATTAAATTATTATAAATTATCTTATTATATCCTAATATAACTTTTATATCTTCACTACATTTTTTTAATAATTTATCATTTGGTAATAATTCTATGACTTCTTTTAAATAATAGTCGAGAAATTGTTGTAATCGACTAATATAAATTTCTTCTGTATCAATTAATTCTTTAACAATATTCTTTCTTTGAGCTAATAGTCTCATTGTTGAATGACTTGATACTCTACTTAAGTGTCCAATAACTCTTCTTTGAATTTCTTTTATGGCATTTATATCATATTCTTTTTTGTTCCATCGTTGTTCTTCATTTGTTATTTGATTCTCTTCTTCTTGTTGTTGAGCTGGTGTTTGTTCTTCACTTATTGTTTGTTTATTTTCTATTTCTTGTTGAGCTGGTGCTTGTTCTTCATTTGTTATTTGATTCTCTTCTTCTTGTTGTTGAGCTGGTGCTTGTTCTTCACTGATTGTTTGTTTATTTTCTTCTTCTTGTTGTTGAGCTGGTGTTTGTTCTTCTGTTAATTTCATATTTTCTTGAATTACTCCAGGATCTTTTTGTGTTGTTATAGTTTCTTCATTTGGGTTTTCATTTTCTATTAGTTGTTGGGTTGATTCTTTCTGTTGATGTATTGAATCATTTACAGTCTCATTCTCAACAAAGTCATTATCTGTATGAACGTCTTTATTATAATCATCTATTTGACTTTCAAACTGAGGTGTATTAGTTTGATTGTTATCCATTATAGTGACACGCTCATCCAATAAAGTATTTAATTTATTAAATTCTGGAACGTCTTGAACTTGCATTTCTTCATGGACTTTTGATAATTTCTCTTTTTCCCGTTTATTTATTCTTTTTTCTCCTAAGTCTTTTGTAACTAATTCCATTTTATTTAAATTACAAAACATTTGTGAGATAACAACATCAATTTGTATTTCATTTACAGGTAATTCAATTGGAGGTATTTGATTATCTAAATTATCAGAAGAAGTTGATGTTACTTCACAATGAGAAGGGTTTGGTTCTTGAATAGATTCAACAGAATTATTATTAGTTTTAGTGTTGAGTTCTAGACTTTTTTGAGTCTGAGATTCAAACACAGAACTAACACTTGGCTTATTTGAAATGGGTTTTTTTTTCTTTTCTATTCTTGTGTTTGACTTCTTTGCAATAAAAAATACTAAACTTAAGAATTGTTGAATATTACCTCGTGCTAATTCAGTTACATCAAACATAATATCACTCCCATAACAACTTTTAACAAGACTTAAAAGTATATTAAGGTTTTCTTGTATTTGAAATATTGTTTGTCCATTTGGAAAATATCGTGGTGCTTTTTTCCCTGATAATTTTTCAACAATTTCTATTAATTTAGTTCCATCTTGAAGTTGTTCAACTTTTTGAATTGGATTTTCTTTGTCTAGATAAAGATTAACCCATTCAACACATCTATCTAATTCTTCTTGTAAGAAACTCATTCTGAAAAATTATATCTTTTTTATCTTTGTTCTTTTGTTTTTTCTTTTTTTTTTAATTCTGGGAGCACATTAGAATAAGAACAATCTAATGCGAGTGTATTAGAAATAAACTCTATTACACAAATAGAGTATATTGAAAAAACTGAAATAAACACTTCTCAATATAAAGAAAATCTAATTGTGGATATATCTATTAATTAACCTTTTGTTTTTTCTTTTTTTTTAAATTCAACACTGATGAATCAGAAAAGTCTTTTTAAAATCAAATAATAAAAACTAGTTCTATTTATAGTATGAAATTACTTTTTATTCTTTTTTTTTGAATCTTTTTTTCATATTTTTAGTTTAATGTTACAAAACAATCCTTTTACAAATTTACTCATACTATCACAGAATATATTATTAAATTAATATAATTAATTTTTTTAAAAATAAACTTATAAAAAAATATATATCATTTAATAAATAATGAACTAATAATTTAATGTAAAAAAATGATATGGATCTGAATATATATTATTTATTGTAATTATAATTGTAATTATTTATTAAAAGAATTTTATAATAAATACCTTATTTATTTGAGGTATTAAAATTAATAAGTTAAATGAGTTTATATTGATGAGTTTTTTTTTAACTTTTTATATAAATATTAATTTCTTTAAGAAATGTTTTGAACATATAAAATAAATAACAAGATTTTGATTTGATGTTCATTAATTTATCATTCATTATTTAATTGTAATTAACCTTTTATTTTTGTTATTTATATCATTGTTATTTTATTAATTCTAAATAAACAAATTTTTATGTTATTAAAATTCAATTATCATTTATTCAGAATTTTTGATGTAAGGTTCAAGATGCTGTTGAATCTTCTTTAACATATCTTCATCAAATCCTAAATTCACAAATGCTTTCATTTTTTCAAGATACTTCCTTGTCTCTTTTTTAACTATCTCAACTTCAACAAGACCACTTGTATTTACTGTTGTTTGGTAAATCATTTTAAATTCTCCTGCTTTTAATCCAGGTGGAAGTCCTTCTATTGTTACTTCTGTGACAAGTTCCATTCCTTCTTCATTTGTTTTCTGACCTTCTCCTTTATAAATCTGATTATTAATGCTTCTTTGATTGTCAAACGGATTAACATACTCACCCTCAAAAGTAATTGGTAATTTTCTTCCTTTTGGTGCAAAAACACTAAACCCATTATTAACTAATCCAAATCCAAGTGTATATGGCATAACTTCTTTGATACTCTCTTCTTTATTTATTGATAATTGATGTGCTCTACATGCAGCTCCTTTGACAACACTTGTGTATGTGTTAAAACTAGGTCCAACAACCTTATCTTTTCCAAATATTTTAGAAACTGTGTTTCTAACAAGTGGAATAGAACATGTTCCACCAATAGCCAGAACATAATTCACGTCATTAATTTTCCAATTTGCACTATCCACAACACTTTTTACACATCGTTCAATCCTTTCAAGTAATTTATCTTTTTTACATTGTTCATTAAATTCATCAATAGTAATTTCTATATCTCCAGTAATTTCTTCACAAAATGAATCTAATTCAATCGTTGAATAACTGGTATTTCCAGATAATGACTTCTTAATATCTTCTGCCTTAAGTCTAATGTTTTTCATCCTTTTTTCTTTCATCTTTTTAATTGATTTAGTATCAGAAGATTTTATATTAAACAACCTTTGAAAACTAATATCACCAATATGTTGTTTTATTTTATCAAGAATAACTTTAATGAGAGAATCATCAAAATTATTTCCACCTAAATTTAAATCACTTTCATTCCAAACACACTCTATTTTTGATTCGTTGTTTGCTTTTTTAATTTCTAAGTTAATGTTTTGAGGAGTTATTGTTATTTCATTATCCCATTCTGGATATATATCCCACAAATTAATCTTAAATGACTGATTTTTTTCCAATGTTTTAAGACAGTCTACCGTTATTTTTTCAATATTCTGAGAAATTAATTTCTTCTTTCTTTTTATTTTACCTGTGTCTGTTCCTTTCTCTGGTTCAAGAAGAGTCAAAAAATCTTTTTGTGTTTTCAAGATTGTTTTGATTTTATTTAATATAAACTCTTTCACTTTCCCAATTTTATTATTTTCTTGTTGTTCTGAATTGTTGAAAATACAACAGGCAACATCTGTTGTTCCTCCTCCACAGTCAACTACAACAATTTTAGATTTATCTTTTAAATGAAATTCTCTATCAAATTCTATAACTGATGCTGTTGGTTCATGCAATAATGAGACATCTTCAAATCCTGCCATTTTACAAGCTTGAATTGTTTCTTTCTTTTGTCTGGGTGTAAAAGAAACAGGGATAGTAATAACTACTTTTCCTATTGTTCTATTTCCAATTTTTTTAATAAGTATATTATATAATGTTCTAAGAACCATTGCTGATACTTCGATTGGATAAAAACTTTCTTGTTTTGATGAATCAAGAGGGTCTTCAACACACATTTTTATTTCATTATTGTCGGTTGAAACTTCAAATGATGTAAAAGTTGGTAATAAGTGTTTTTGTTCATTATAATGTTTAACTGTTTCTCCTATTAATCTTTTAGAGTCATGAAGACAAATACCACCATTATTCTTTGCAATAAGACCAACATTGTACTTTTTTAATCCATCACCGCCTTTAAATAATTGCACCCATGATGGTATTGAAAATTCATTATTTGATATTTCAAGTACTTCTATTGGGTTTGTCTCATTTTCAGAATAAATAGCTATAGATGAATATGTTGTTCCTAAATCTATTCCAATATGAATAGGTACTTCTTTTAATTCTTGTAAACTCATAATGAATCATAAAGATAATCAGTTCTTTAAAAGATGGTAACAAACATCATTTATTTTTTAAGATGAATTCTAAGATGTATAATTCATGATGATTATACAATTACAATTTACAAAATCAATTTTGAACAAAAAAGAAGAATTAATAGATATATCCACAATTAGATTTTCTTTATATTGAGAAGTGTTTATTTCAGTTTTTTCAATATACTCTATTTGTGTAATAGAGTTTATTTCTAATACACTCGCATTAGATTGTTCTTATTCTAATGTGCTGCCAGAGTTTCCTGTGTAAAACATTAAGTCTTTCATATTTTTTATAATAATTGTTTGTAGGATTTTGGGAGAAGTTTAATTGGAATTTCAGTGATTTTAATCTTCTTATAGACTCTTCATGTATTAATCCATTTATTGATAATATTACAGATATTATTTCTACAGATATTAATTCTCTGTTATTTCTTAATTTCTCTTGTAATTCTTTGTATTTATTTATTTTATGAATATAATTTAATTCTATATTCTTATTTTGACATATAACAACATCTATGATATATCATTTCTTTTCTTTAATATTTTGATATTATATATCTTGTCTTCTAGCATGGAAAGAATTATCACTAACCAATAAATCTTTATTGTAAGTTATTACCATTTCATCATTATTAATACATTTTGGATGATTATTAAAATCAACTGAATCAAATTCATTAAAATTGTGTAATTAAAATCTGTTTATATATTTGTTTACCCACTTAATCATATTTTAATATTTGATTCTTTTTCATTACATCATAACAAGATATGACTAATAGATGCAATTGTGTTATGAGAATGTTTACAATATTTTAAATCATCATTTTGGAGTATTTTTGCTTTAATACTTCCTGTCATACTTACACATTCTTGCATCTTTACTACTTGGAGGAATGCATTTCTTTTTATGTTCAATGATTTCCATGTGGCTACTGTTAATTTCTTATCATTGAAAGTGCCATTTGCATTTCTTATATATTCACCACATTTCTTTTATTTCCATTCATTCAAGTTTCTTTCATTTAATTCATTATTTACAAATTCAAATACTTTCTTTATATCTTGTTTTCTTTCATTTAATTCTATTACATTCATTAATTCATTAAAATTAATCTTCTTACCAAATACTTTCTTCACTCTTTTAATTATTCCATTTGGACTTTCTTTTATTGCTTCTATCATTTCTCATATTCCTGTGTTTGATATTTGTATTTTAAATATATTCTTAGTAATTCAATAAAACATTAATCTCTTGATGACATTAGTCATATTCACAGTTCATTTATTTTAACATATATTCTACTTTTATTGATGTTTCTGCTATATAGTTGGAGATAGATTAATGGTTTTCTCATTTGTTTATCTATCTTCTCAAACTCTCATAGTTTCCATGTGATAATACTAAATAAATATCTTAATTTGGAGATTATGTCATTATTAATCTTTCTTATTGTATTGAGACTGCTGTACTTCATATTATTTAATGATGATAAAATAGAAGATATATCATTTAATATTCTTGTACAATATTTGTTGATATTTACTTTATCTCCTATTTCTATACCAATTTATTTATAATGATTATCATTAGTTACTCTTGGTAGTTCAGCTAATTCACCATTTATTTGACTATTAATATTCTCCATCTTTTCTAAATTTATTTTTAATCATATTGCATTAAATATTTATTTAGTTAATTTGTAGGCTTTTTCCATTTCATCGAGATTATTAATTATTATCTTTAAATCGTCCATATATAATATATGATTTAACTTGAACTGCTTTTTCTTCTTCATTCATTTTAATATTTAATTTGTTTATTTGTTTATCTAATTGTTTAGATAATATATCAATAGATAATACAAATAAAAGTGGAGATAGGCTGTCACCTTGTATTATTCCTCTTTCTACATTAATTATACCCACACTTTCTTGATTATAATATAAATTAAGACATGTATTATTTAATATATATAATATACTATTAATTACTACTAGTGTGATATTAAAATAAATTAAGCATTGTTTAATCCATTGGTGGTTAATACTATCATATGCTTTAGATATGTCATAATATGTTTCTACCAACTTCCATTTAGCCTTTAATAATAATTGTTGGATTATAATGTTGTATAATAATCCTTCTTTTGATGCATATGTATATTTCTTACATCCAATTTGATTTAATGATAATTGTTTTTCAATTTGATTTAGCATCAATTGGCTTTCTATTTTCATCATTAATATTGATGTATATATTTTTAACAGACAATTTAAACAAGTTATTTGTCTGTATTTCTGTGGGTCTAGTTTATCTCATTTATTATATATTAATATTATTATTCAATGTATAAAATGAAGAGGTATTTCATTATGATTGTTCAACCATTCATTAAATAATTTTATTAAATACTTCTTTGGTTGTTCTAAATATTTAATCCAAAATCCTTGTATTTTAACATTTTCATTTTATTTTACAATTAACAATAAATTTAATATCACAATCTAGTTCATTTGGAGTGATTATTGATATTCTATTATTAATTCTATTTTCAACTAATATTTCATATAAAATAAAAATTAGTTAATTAAGTATTAATAGAATTTTCATCTATTCTTCTTAGTTTAGGGGAGACTAATCTCATCCCTTCTCTGTTTAAAAAAGAGTAATCTTTTTGTTGAACCTATCATTTAGGTTTGTATTGGAAAAATGAGGAAAGCACTTCTTTGTTTTATTTCTTCTTATTAAGGTTTTTCAAACTTCTTCTGCTTATTTCTTCTTTTTAACCTTTTGTTTATTTTCTGCCTTAATTTTAAACATTTCCTTTTTCCTTTTTTCTTTATTTTATGAATGAGAGAAGAGACTATTTCATTCCCATTATATTATTATGTTTAATTTTCTTTTAGTCTTACCCACACTTCAGTAGATTCTTGTATTACATCATGTAATATTCTATCATAATACTTGCTACACCCTTTGCAGTTTTACCTAATACAATTCTAATTCAAATACACCGTCATAACCAGATAATAACTGGGAGAGTTGAAGTTTGAATTTGTACTAGGGCTTATGTGTGGTGTTTCAGACGTGCCACATTCGATCTCATATTTCATATAAATTAATATATTGATAAAATCTATATTAGTATTAGTTTTATAGATTCCTTTCCAGAAATTAATAGTAGAGATATTATCTGGATATTCATCTTCTTTAGATTTATTTAGATGTTTCATTTTCCCATATTTCATCATTTTATAATTCAATCTTATTCTTTTAGAATAATTATTTCTTGCTTCTATTTCTATTATTTTCATCTTTCAGAGGTATTTATAATAGTTTATTTGTTCATTTGTTTTTACTTTAATATGGTATATATCATATTTCTTAATATGTAATATTCTTTTTAATTTTATATATTGTTTATTATGGAGTAAATCTCTTAATCTACATATTTTTGATTGTATTATTCTTTCTATACTTTTCTTTCAACTTCTTTCTTGTTTATTTTTATTAATGATGTTAATAGTGGAAGCTAAAGTTTTTATATAATGATAATAATCAACTAATGTATTGATTAATATTTCATTTTTTATTAATAATATTAATTATTTGATGTATTTTCTTTTTATTGTAATAATAATTAATAAATTGTACATCATCTTACTCTTTCATTTATTCTTTAATTATTTCATTACCTCCTCTTCTTCTATTTCTTCTCTTTCTTGTTCATTTTAGATATTATTTCTTTTAATTCATTATCTTTCTATTGATGATTTATTATTTCTTCCTCCAATATTCTATTTATTTCTCTTTTTATTTCATTCTTTATTTTAAATGTCTTCTTTAATATTTCTTTATATTCATTAATATCATTTACTTTAATTTCAAATTCTTGTATTAATCTTTCTATTATTTCTTCTTTAAGTTGACATCTTAATTTTCTTTCAAATAATTTCAAAACAAAACATTTATAGAGTGTTAAAATTTCTTCTTCTCTGTCTGTTTATTTCAATTATTTTTTTAAATTGTCTAATTCAAATGTAGTGATCTTCTTATGCTGAATATCAATTTCTTCAATGGATTTCTGTGTTAACTTTCTTTTTGGAAGATCATCTTCACACGATGATATTTTATCAGCTACTACCACATTGGGGGAGAGGTCATTTACTATTTGTGTTTATTTCATTCTCATACTTCTTCTTTAATGATATATTATTTTTTGTTAGTTTATTAATGGTTTGGTCTTTTACTTATATTTCCTTTTTCGTTTCTTCTTTCTTTTTTAATTCTTCTACTCTTTTCCCCTTTTTCATTGTTTTTTCTTCCTCTTCTACCAGCTTCTTCTTCTCTCCATTAGTAAACTTCTTCTCAGCAAGACTCTTTTCTACTTTCGTAGACTCCCGGTTATCTTTATATTCTTTTCAATACTCATTGAATATTCATTATATGTTTTAGTATCATTTATTTCAATTGGATTATATTGGTTATTGTCTTATTCCATAGTCATACTAATTAGTTTTTCTTCCATTCTATTTGTTTTTGTTTTTCTCGTGCAAGAAAATACCATATTCTCTATATTATTGATAATATATATTCTTTAATCTCGGTTTTCTTTATTTCTTTTACTCCTTGTGGTGTAAGTATTTTAATTTCTTCTTCAAAGAGTCTTTTCCAATATTCTTGGTTTTGTATTTCAATCACTTCATTTCTTTTATTTCGATTTTATTTCTTATTTTGATATTGTCTGTATCTTCTTTATGTGTTATTATGCTATTTATTTTTATTATAATAGTACTGTTTATTTGTATTGAAATTATTGATAAAATATTTATGATGATTATGATTTAAGTGGTGAGTGAAATGATTCATATCATCTATGCTGTGATAGTTATGATTATAATTATCAGTATTGCACTTATTAATGAGATGAATAAAGTATTTCCGATAATACAAATAATAAATATTT